TCTCTGATTTCATCACTGAATAACTAGAGGTCATTAAATATTCCCTGCAAAGATTTTTAATTCCAGTATTCAAAATCAGAAAAAAATAACCTTATTTTCTTCCCAGATACAGATGCAAACAGAAATAAAGCACAGCTGCTCTTATCTCTCCATGGCACCATCTCTTCTTGGTACCGAGAGAGATAATGATCTTGCAGTGTAATTTTATAAGGAGGTAACAAAATCAATTACATTATCTCAAGTGTAAACACTGCAGGCCTTATCCCACTGCTGCTTAAGATAGGCTGTAACTGTGGCAGCTGCTCACTCCCATTATAGATTATTTTAGATGAAAGAAAACATTGACTAATAAATGAAGATTTGACAATGTAGGAGTGTAGACGGTCTTACAGCTTGATACTGAAGAATGAAACCAGCAATACAATTGTTGGATGAAAAGTCAGCACAAAACAGCCAGGGATGCAAGGGAAGGTAGAGATGGACAAATCACTTAATTCATTTTCTATAATTAAGTGGTAAAGTCTTCACGAAAGCATGAACAAATCTGCAAACCCTTTGGGTCCATGAAGTTTTATGTGACCTTATACAATATTATGAACCATTAAAAAAGGCTAAGAAGAAATTCAGGACACCATTGAGATATGTTGTTTTCATAATTGTAATAACTGTGCAATTAATATGATCCCTTCCAAAGTATAGTGATTAGATAATCGAGGTGATTAAATCTTTTATTGTTACAAAACCTAAACTTTATAAAAAAAGATTAATTTAAATCTATAGACATACAAGCCCATCAAATAAAATCAATAATTATGAGCCTGTATAACCAAGTCCATAAGATTTTAGAGCCAGACAAATCTGCTTTATTAACTCCACACTGATGCAAGTTGAGTGACCTTGGCGAAGGTACTTAGCTAAATCTCTCTGAATAATCATACCACCAGATAGGGTCGTGGTGAGTACTAAACAACGTAATGGTACTAAAATTGTATTTAGCAAATAACGAACACTTGATGATAAATGATAAGAATCTTTCTTTGTTTCTTTTCTCACTCTTCCTTAAGTTTAACACAAGTTAACATAGTTCTTTTCTATCTGAAATAAGCTATTTATTTAAGCTTGACCCACTGGCTCTGCGCTATTTATCCCCGTTTATCTTACAATGTTTAGGTTGGTCTCTGTTTATCTTAAAATTAACATGCATTTTTAACAATAGCACTTTGTCCAAAAGGAAGGTCATTTCAAGTAACCCTTATTTTTCTTCAATAACCTAAGAAGGTTGGCAACGTTAACCATAAGTCTATTTAATCAATAAGAAAATACCTAAAGTCTTTAAAAATTAACAAGCAGCATGATATGATATAATTTCTTACTTGCTTTTCCTTATCTCATTTCCTCTAAATTTTTCATTACCTTATATTTTAAATAAAGCAAAATATGACTCACGGTTGGCATCTAATACATGTTTGTTGAATAAGAGGAAAAGAAATAAATATTTTAATTGTGACCAGAGTCAATGGCTCCTCCATGGAGGCTGAAAAGAGACCTTAATTAAATTACCCAGGTTAGAAAAAACATTCTTCCGCCTGCTTTTCTTACTCAAATGCAAAATTATTTGGATTAATTTCTTGGGATAGAGGAAGAGTTAAAGAAATTAAATTATAAGGGGAGGCTGAACAATTTTATAGCATCTTTTATCTACAATTAGGATTTTAGTGTTAAAGGGACCTTAAAGATGAAATGGCACAAACTCCTTAATTTACGGACAAGGAAACCAAGACACGGGAAGTGTACACGGCTTCATCCTGTGGTGTCTGAGCTGCAGGAGTCCATTTCTTTGCAGTAGAGTTAGCTCCTAAAGGGTCTTGCCCCGGGGTACTTGTTAATCTTAACACTTCTGTCTATTCCAGGGTACTTATGTATCTACAAAAAATAGACAGTAAGATAAAGCCTGTGGTCGAGAACACCTGGCCTTTGGGTCAGAGAAACCTGAATTCAGACTGCTTCTCCACCACTTATTAACTGTGTGGCCTTGTACAGCTGTGGTCCCCAACCCCCAGGCCCCACGGGCTGGTACCAATCCGTGGCCTGTTAGGAACTGGGCCACACAGCAGGAGGTGAGCAGTGAAGGTGAGCAGCAAGCAAAGCTTCACCTGTGTTTACAGCTGCTCCCGATTGCTGGCATCGCCGCCTGAGCTCCGCCTGCTGTCACATCACTGGTGGCATTAGATTCTCATGGAAGCATGAGCCCTACTGTGCGCTGCACATGGGAGGGATCTAGGTTGCACGTTCCATGTAAGAATCTAAGCCTAATGATCTGAAGTAGAGCCAAGGCAGTGATCCTGGCTCTGGGCAGTGGCTGCAAATACAGATTATCTTTAGCAGAGAGGTTTGACTGTGCAGAGACCATAATAAATTGCTTGCAGACTCATATCAAAGCTCTATTAGTGAGTGGCAAGTGACAAGTAAGCTGCATCTGGTGGCAGAGTTCATAGTGGCAAGTGAGTTGATGTACTGCAATTGTACAGCTGCATCTGGTGGCAGGCTTTAAGTCAGAATCCAACACTTATTTTAGTCCATGCGCGGCCCGTCCATTATTTTATTTACCACTTCCACCCACGCCTCTTTCCTGCACTGCGCTCTTGTCTCAGTCACAGTTTTGGTGAGCCCACAAGCTAACCCTAGCGAAATGAGTAAAAAACAAACGTCACTTGAGAGCTTCTTTGAAAAAGGGGAAAGAGCCAATGATGAGACAGCAAAAGACCCTAAGAGCCAACAAAATGAAAGCTGCATTTAAAAGAAAATACCAAGAGTCTTACTTAAATTACAGGTTCATTGCAACAGGTGATTCACATTCTCTAAGTCCAGTTTTGATAATACGTGGTGGCCCACTGTCCAATAAAGCCATGAAACCTTTAAAACTGCTTTGCCCCATGGATACCAAGCACCTTGGGTTAAAATACGAGTCTTTCAAGTTTTTCAAAAGGTAAAAAGTGGACACAAAGAGCAGAAGCAATTGTTGAAGGCCACCACTTCATCAGATGTGTCTGCACTGAGAACATCATGCTTAGTGGCTAACCATGTTGCTAAAGCTAAGGAGCCCTTTACTACTGGTGAAGAGTTGGTCCTGTCTGCTGCTAAGGACATTTGCTGTGAACTTTTAGGAGAGGTTGCAGTTCAAAAGGTGGCACATGTTCCCCTTTCCACTAGCACCATAACTAGACGAATTGATGAAATAGAGGATATTGAGGCACACTTGTTACAGAGAATTACTGAATCACCGTAGTGCACAATCTAGGTTGATGAATCTACCAACGTTGATGACAAGGCAATAATGCTTGCCTTTGTGATATATATATATACATATATATGTATAGCCAGCCAGGACTGGCCTCCTTCACTTCTATCTTTGAATTTGCAAACAAGGTCTTTTCCTACCAGACATAGGACAGGTTTTAGAGACCTGTTGAGTTATAGTAAGGGCTGACTGTGTTTGCCTAAGACTCTTTCTTAGTTAGCATTTCCCACATAGCCACTCAGCTTTCCCATAGCACCTGTGGGAGAGAACCCAGTGTTTTCTCTCAGCTTATTCCATTCTCAGGAAGCTCAAGACCTGGGAAGAGGCCAGGGATGAACGTAGGGTCATGTAGTTTATTTCCCTCACCCACATCAGGCGCTCCTTAATCACAGAATCCCACCTGCCTCGTTTGTCTTCACATTCTCGTCCATTGCATCTCACTCAAGGTGGACGCTCAGTAAATATTTGTGATTCGTAGTCATAAATGGACATGTGCCGAAGAGTTACTGGTCTGAGAGTCCTTTCGTTTTAGGGCCTGATTGTAACAGAGAGATTATTTCTACATCAGGCAATACAGACTTTTCATCCAACTCTGATGACAGTGGGCAAAGCTTAAATCTCAGTATTTTACATGAAAAATAAAATCTATATGAACTCTTCTGCCCTGGGTACTGATGTGCAACGACTTGTGTTATTAAATGTCAAAATGAAATAGAACCAGTTTTCTTTAAAATAGGAGAGAAGTATAATTCTAGCACCTCAGGTATCTTTAAGAACAGGTATATTAATCATTTTCCTTTCAAGACACGTACGTCAGTGTACCTCATGTAAAGTTGTGGCTGAAATCTCATATCTCAAAGAGGTAATATACACTTTGCTTGGAATATTATCTACAGAGAAAATGTAGAAAGGTTATGCTTTCATAAAAATATTTTCAAATCTGCATGTTGAGATATATGAAATACCCTAAATTTTCTTTAGGAAATATTTAGAGTTGCTTATTTTACATGATATTTTGCCTTTATCTGTATTTATTACAGGTAAGAATCAATTTTTTTCTCTGAATAAGCCTTCCCAAACCAATCTTCCTTGAATCTCTCCTCACTTATCCACATTAATAAAATTGGATGAGAGAAATGTTGGCATTTATTCACTATGGTGTTTCTTTTTCTTTCTTGTTTGCAGTTAAGTGCTTTATTCCATTTTAATTTATAAGCTAGGAATCCTTTAAATGTTGAACAGGAACATCAATTAAAAGATTGGACTGGGAATGGTGTCTCATGCCTGTAATCCTGGCACTTCGGGAGGTCGAGGCAGGAGGATTGCTTGAGGCCGGGAGTTCAAGACCAGCCTGAGCAAGATTGAGACACTGTCTCTATGAAAAATAGAAAAATTAGCCAGGAGGGTGTCACAGGCTTGTAGTCCAAACTACTTGGGAGGCTGAGGCAGGAGGATCACATAAGCCCAGGAGTTTGAGGTTGCAGTGAGCTATTATGATGCCACTGCACTCTAGCCCAGGTGACAGAGCAAGACCCTGTCTTAAAAAAAAAAAAAAAAAAAAGATTATTTGTGATAACTGAGGCTCACCCAGAGTTAGTTGATTGGCTTCCATCTGCTGTACTTAAGCCTAGATTCAAAGTGGGTAGTAGGGTTTTATTTGACCAAAATAAAAAGCCTTTGTAACCCTTTTCTTCTTTCCTAGTCCCTCTGCATTTACTCTGTCCAAAGCTAACATGTCGCTGAAAAATGAGCCAAGGGTAAATACCTCTGCACTGCAGAAAATTGCTGCTGACATGAGTAATCTGATAGAAAATCTGGACACGCGGGAACTCCACTTTGAAGGAGAGGAGGTGGACTACGATGTGTCTCCCGGCGATCCCAAAACACAGGAAGGTAAAGACTGATGATCTGAGGAGGAAGAAAACAGTTCTCAGGGCTGGCTGGCAGAGCACAAACTTGAAATAACCAGCAAATGATTGGTATTCCTTGCAGATATCATATCATAACACTGGGGTGAGATAGTTTTATAAAAGGCTTACTGGTTTTAACACATTATGAGTCTTAAAGGAATGCCTCTAAAAAGCAAGTTGTGCTGATATTACATATTGCAATAACTTCATTTACTTATTTTTTTAGTGTATATCCCTTTCTCTGCTATTTATAACACTCAAGGATTCAAGGAGCCTAATATACAGACGTATCTCTCCGGCTGTCCAATAAAAGCACAAGTTCTGGAAGTGGAACGCTTCACATCTACAACAAGGGTCAGTGTCCATAGACTCCCGTTTTATTTGTCAATATATGTGGATTAGTACATTGCCTTCATTTTCCTTCTTCTAGCTATGACCATAGTTTTAGGTTTTTGTTTGTTTTTCTATCACTTCTAAGTTTTTATCACCTCCCAAGTTTTGCTTCCTTCCTATTTTATCTTTATTCTCATACTACTCTTCTTCCATTCTGGACAATACTCTTTCTTTTTAAAAGACATTTAAGGCAGCTTATTGGTTTAATAAGTTGCAAAGTGCCTCTCCTAATCCTCTTCTCTCCCCAATTTTGTGTTTCATTTGGATTCTTGAGGCATGTTCAGTCCACCTAGAATGGCAGGAGTTAAGTCAAGGAAAAGTTTAGTGTTGCTAATGCTTGTTTAGCAAAGAAATGTTGGTGTTATCTGGCTCTTAAAATAAAGGGGGAAAAAAGCCAAGATGCTGGATCGGCCAGTGCCGTTACCCAAAAGTACTGCTGAGAGAATTCTGCTGGCATACGCTGCCTCTGTAACTTGTTCCCAGAACCCCAGCCTTTAGTCCTCATTCAAATGTTTCTTTCATTGGACACTAAAAAGGCACTGGGTAAAATGTCCTCAGCAGGCACAGCTATGCCCTTGGAAATGGATTGGAATTGGAGAAGCTACTGGGTAGTTATGTGTGCTCAGTTCCTGCCTGGATTGTACTTGTCAAGTCTGGAGGCGGGAATGTCGCTGCAGGGTGGTGGCCTTTGTCCCCGTAGTCCCCGTAGGTTAAGCTCTAACCCTGATAGAGTAAGGCCGCTATTGGCTGCTGCCTCAGCCAATAATAATAACCTCCTGTCGGGGGCAGGCTTTGCCTTCCTTTCCTCTTTGCCATTTGGAGGGTGTCTCGTGCTGCCCTGTTTTCCTGATAGTTTTGCTGGATACTCTGTCCTGACTTACCTGTACATGCAAACTCCCAGTTACTCCCATGGTAGCGTCCAGCCTTTGCCTTAGGCTTTTCTTACGAGTTGTGTCATGTCTCCCTGATACACCACTGAGCACAACCCAGCCCGAAAGTTCTCTAAGATGACCTTTGTCTTCTTACTTTGCCTACCAGCTTTTAAACTGAGAGGCAATAACATGTGGGGTTAAAGGCACAGACTCCAGCAAGACTGCATGGTTTAATTCCTGTCTTTGCTTTGTGATCTTGAGAAAGTTATTCAACCTCTGTTTCTCAGTTTCCTCATCTGAATAATGGGTATAGTATTGCTTATCTTATAGGTTTGTTATGAGGATTTAATAATAATAATATGTAGTATTATATTGTACAAGCATGGCATATATACTCATTGCTACAGCACGTTTTTCCACCTACCCTTCCTGAACACAGTGGTGCCTCAGGGTAGGGGGGCAAGACTGGACTTTGAAATGTGTTTCAGAAGTAGAAGGGGAGGAGGCATGTCATGCCATTTGTGAAGGACAAAAAAGGCCAATATATTGTTCCTAGCATCCATTATCTTCTGCTCCTCTGTCACCCCCACTGATTGCCTGTCCACTCTTTGCATTTGTGGACTAGACCCCTGAAGGCTAATTAAGGTCTTCACTCATTGTCTCCTTTACCTGGTTTCTGGTTTCAGGTGTGTATGTGTCTCTGTGTGTGTGTGTGTGTGTGTGTGTGTGTGTATTAGGGATAGGCTTTGCAGTAGTTTGTCTTTGTCTTTGCTATGATTCAAAAATTGTCTTAGGTAATTTATCAGGTGGACATTTAAGAGAATATTATTTATGTAATCAGTTGTTTTTGAAAAAAATTGCTTAAGTACTTACGTAAAATAAGTAAGCTAGACTTAAGTATACTTCCATGTTACTTATTAATTAACTGTTGTCCATTGAGAGCTTTGGAATTTTTGTTGTTATTTAAAATACCAACCATTTTTATTTATCACTGTAGGTACCAAGTATCAATCTTTATACTATTGAATTAACACATGGGGAATTTAAATGGCAAGTTAAGAGGAAATTCAAGCACTTTCAAGAATTTCACAGAGAGCTGCTTAAGTACAAAGCCTTTATCCGAATCCCCATTCCCACCAGAAGGTAACCATTTCAGAATCAATTATAAAGTTATCCTGGTATACAAGTTGAATGGAAAGTGTGTTTCATTCATATTATAGTCTAACTAGTCCATCGTTGGTAGATATTTTTAATTAAATAGGCTCTTTTAAAAATAAGCCATATCATGAAAGATATTACAAGAATCATAGTCCAAGAATAATCTAATAAATGTTTGCATTGTGTGTGTGTTTTAGACACACATTTAGAAGACAAAATGTTAAAGGGGAGGAGCCCCGAGAGATGCCCAGTTTACCTCGTTCATCTGAAAACCAGATTAGAGAAGAACAATTCTTTGGTAGAAGGGTAAGTCCTTTCACTGTTCTGTTGTTTTGAACATAATTTTGCAAAGCTGTAGAAATTCGTCATCTACCGAGGGGTGGAGTAGGTCTGGCTGCAACTTCTGTCACTAGTCAATCATCAATCACCCAGCTTGGTTTGGTTTTGCTGGTACTGCTTAGATATCTCCTTCTTCCCTAAGCCATGGAGATATTGCATTTGTCTAGAAGAGGAAGAGTGTTCTTTGTTAGGACTTAGGTCATGAAGAAGCTGCCCTCTTTGCAGGAACCTCCCAGGCTTGTTGTGAGTCAAAGATTGAACTCATCATTGTGGGTTTTGAGATCTACCTTTTAAAATCATCTATTTCCATACATTTGCTACAGTATTTGTAGTAACTCATCTTAAGTGTATGTGAAACCTCATTCCTGAACTGTGGATGGGGCAGTTTGGGTCTGAGAAGGGCATGTTAGAGTACGGACATACACAGCACCAGGACAGAAGGCACAGGAGGAGGGACACTTCTGCCTGCTCTGCTTCAGTGACTGGCCCTGCAGTGACTTCCACACTGCATGAGGTGGAAGATTTTTCTTTTTTTCACTAGAAAATTAACAAGTAATCTGTTAATTTCTGTCAGCTCTGTTTTGGAATCTGAAACTTTCATGTTTTAGACAGGATGTTTGATTTCTCTTTGTGGTTGTCATCTTGTTTAAAATCTTTTCAGAAGTCTGGACCAAATATTTTCCAAGCTACCTAGACATATAAAATTACACAGTTTTGGTTTAGTGTGTGCATGTATGTGAGTTCAACTGAAAATGACTATGGCTGTTAACACTTAGTGACTCCACAAAAAAATGCTGGATTTTGTATGGTGGTCAATATGATTGACATATGTTGCTCTACAGGCCCCGCCTCCAAGTCTTATTTCTCCCTTCCCCATACACACACATTTTAACATATTTAAAAATATATAAAATTAAGTACATTTTACTGGAAATTTTCTTTTAACCTTTCCCCTTTTTTTTCTGAAAAGCTGTTTATAGTGTATCCTCCAGTAAATTTAATGTTAGAGTAGAAAAAAATACAAGTTTTTAGTAAAATCAACAAATGCTTTAAAACTACTAGGTATGGGCAGGTTCTGTTCTAATAGCTATGGAGGATTAAAAGAATATATACCGTACCTCAGGGCTGGTCAGCAGTTCATAGAAGACCTAAGTGTGTAGAAAGTTAAATAGCAAGAAGAGGTTTAAATAATTGTTCAAGAAAACTATGGAAATCACACCTTAAGGTATTTAGGATTCCTTTTCCAGTGATTATATTAGTCAATAACTGAATAACTTACAGAAGTTAAGATGAAATGATGATCTCATTATTGTCACTGTTGTTTGGTTTTTTAATAAATATGACCCTGTTAATTATTACCTAAAATATTTGCATTACAGAAACAACTGGAAGATTACTTGACAAAGCTACTAAAAATGCCCATGTACAGAAACTATCATGCCACAGTAAGTACTAGTGAGTGGTTTAAGTTTGAAAAAATCTGTAATGTAGTAAATTGACAGCTAAAGTTTGGATCATTTTTTTAACACAAGTGCTTGTATCCACATCTACATTATTCCTTGAATTAAAATAAATTTAAATGAATACAAAATTGATTTGACAGCAAGGATTCAGTCTACAGTGATATAATGCTATTTTAAAAATTTTGAATAGAACTTAATATGTCTATAACGGTAAATTTAAATGAACTTGAAATGCTACTATAGGCTAGATTATCTAGAAATCAACCCTCGTCTCTCCTTAGGCTTCGAGAATAAGGCCAAAAAGCATTTCTAGCTCCAAAGAACACATGTTGAGCAGTGAGTGATGAAAACAGTTGGGCAGAGTTGAATGCCCAAAGATTATGTGGCACAGGGCGCTTGCCATCTGATTGGCCTGTGATGCCTGTGAAAGGCCTGTCTTTTTTTTCTTTTTTCTTTTTGAGACAGGGTCTTGCTCTGTTGCCTGGGCTAGCGTGCAGAGGCATGCTCACAGCTCCTCACTGCAACCTCAAATTCCTGGGCTCCAGCCATCCTCCTAAGGCCCGTCTTTTCATGTGAAAGCGAGAAGCATGGGAAAAGCTGGGGAAAGGAAAAACTTTTGAGAAATTTGAGAAGAGAGAAAAGAGGTGGAGGGGCTTAGAAGCAGCCACAGAGATTAAGCTCGGGAGGCACACAGAGGGCGAGCAGGAGGGAGTGGACTTTGCAGTGTCAGCAAACAGTGAGCTCTGCCCTCTTAGAGGCCTTTGAATGGGGGTGGGGGGATGTTTTTAAAGGGTTAGTCTTCAATTATCCAGAGGTCTGGATAACTGAGAATGCACTAGATTATTTTATTTATGTCTGCATATATATAGCTTGTGTGGCCGTGGGGGTTGTATGTGTGCAAACTGTGTATGTGCAGAACTCAGGAGTTGGTGCAGTTATGATTTGACCTCTAATGTAGAGAATGGCACCGCATGAACACATAGACAGAAAGAAGGAAGACATCCGTGTATTTTTGGAGAGAAAGGGAGAGTGCCCTGGCTCTGCTGAGTTTCTCGAACAGGAGTTGCCCTTCTGCTGCCCCACTGCAGCATTTAATTTGGAGGCTGCTCAGGCTGGTTCCCTTCATACACAGCTGAACTGGGTCCAGCCACCGCCTGCCTTCTGCAGCAACTGGCCTGGAATGTTCCATGGACTTGAAGGAGCTTCTGTGGCTTCATAATCCCAGAAAAGAGTTTTCTCAGAAAAATAGGAATTTGAGTTCAACCAAAGGATCTCAAGAGAAGGACAATATGAGGTGTTTCTCCCCTTCTATTAATAGGAACTTGCATCATTGAAATAATATAATGAATAAGGATACTACTGCTATTGTTTTTTAAAATGCTGCCTCCTGTTGTGTTCTCTGAAATCCGACATGCTGTTTTCTTTAATAGAGAATTATTTAAATGTGTTTTAGTACCCATATGCAATAATTTTCCTTTTCTTTTACTTTTCTGCCTTCCTGTGACTTTACTTTTACTATTTCTTTTGGCTTTAGAACAGGACTTGGTGAGTTCGCTCTTCTCTTTCCATGTATGTTACTACATTTTGGATTCTAATACTGACTAAAGAATGTTTACATTGTTAAAATGTTCATTTTAATTACTTTTCCAGTCATAAAAATCTTTTCAGAGTGAAGCCATATTGTATGTAGAAATCCCTAAGTGCCTTATGGACATTTCCTTTGGACAGGAAAGCCTCCTGGCTGAATAGATTTCCTCCTGGGTTTTGATGCTTACTGAGATTATTCTTTCCAGAGCTGAGTTCTCCAAATGATTGAAGCATAGGATACAATTTGATATACATTATTTCTCTAAAATTAGTTTCTTTTCACACTAAATGCAACCTGACCTCATATTTGTGAAATTAGATTGCCATCTATGGATTTTCCTCAATAATTGTGAGAACTATTAAAAATCCCATCTGCAAAAGCACATTAAAAAGTTATTTACATTTATTTTACATATACACATATAATAAATTTATACTTTATAAGTATAAAATGAACCTATTTAAAATTCATTCAAGTCCTGAAACAGACAGAATCATTGATCACAGGTCAAGGGCCTGGATAGGATATGTCCTTAATCTCTATAGGACCATCCAGATCTGTACTTGGAATATGTACTTTTACCAAATAGCTCAGGTGATTCTTATCATCAGGAGAGTTCGAGAATGAAACTAAAATGTTATGGTCAGCTTAGAAATGTCGTGGTAAAGTCGGACCACTTTAAGAAGTAGAGATAGATTTATTATTACAGTATTTGTTTAATAGGATTTTCTCAAAAGGAATTGAGTTTAGACTTCAAAGCACTGACTGTTTATTTTTCTTAAATGGCCTTTGAAATTAGACATGAACAGTTCTTTCCTCTCCACTTTTATATAGACATTGGTTTGGTTTGTACCCAGACAACTACCTTTTCTTCCAGGATTATGAGGACTTCCTTTGTTTTTAATTCCTTTTTTCCTTCTTGTGAGAGTATCCAGGTGTTTTAGTAAATTGAGCATCAGACAGTTTCCTCAGAGATTATCTGTAATTCATTCAGTTTTCTTTGCTCATTTGTAAAATTAGGACAAATGTATTTCACCTTTTCTATAAGCATAAATATGTAAAAAATATAGCAATATCTGAGTTGTATGATGACATTTAAAAAAATCTCAAACAGGAATTCCTTTTGTGTTCTGAAATTGTATTAGGGCTGGCTGCAGTGAAGAGCTCACTAGCTAGGCATTTTAATTAGTAACTGGAAAATGCTATCTTCCAGGGCATTAATAGGAGGAGGAAAAAAAAATAGAAGATATGCTTTTTTTCCTTACTTAACATTAAAATCTAGAAATGGAGCAAAATGCACAATTTCCAAGAGAAGGGCCCTAAACTGATAGGATCATATCCCTAACTTGAAGTAAATAATTTAATTTCCTCCTATGACTCAGATTCCTTCTTTCCAAAATGGTGATTAGCTTGAAATCTTAATACAACATCCCACAGATCAATCATACTGAGTTCACCTCATCCTTGTTTTGTAGGATGAATAACTTTAACAGAGGAAAGAGTAGGTAAAGAATAAAGATGCACACAGTGTTTCCATTCCAGCAGAGAAAAGCTATAGGGAGTGACCTTGGGCCTTTGTCCAGCCTCCAATTTCCTCCATAGATTAGATATCTTTTTTGTTTCCTGCCTTTCCTGGAATACCAGAATCCACCTTCCACCCTCACTACAAGGGAATTGCCCAACCCAATACTCTTGTCTTCCTCATTGGAAGATAATTTGGATAATTTCCAACTTGGCCACTCACTTTAACTTTAGCTACCTGAGAAATAAAAGGAGCCTTTGAAATTCACTCTCCCTTTATAGTACAAAGATGAGTGGAAGGGCAGTGTGTACAGGATTGCCAAGTAATTGCTAGGGTTTGGTGTTACTGCAGAGTTTCTTGCTTGTCTCTTGGCATGAAAACTTTTTTGCTTCTCTGTTTCTCTAACTTTTTTAGCATCCAATTGGTAAGTCACACTGTAATTTTTTACTTGAGACCACTTTCCACCTAATGCCAAGAACATTATTAAATTGCATTTTTCACAAATTGCTTTGCCAAAAAATAAAGACAAAACAGTATTGATTAGCACATTACTCAAGACATCAGTGGAATAAGCCCTATCAAATACTCTTAGACTAAATCGATCATTAAATTCTTATTCCTGAGAATCGCCTGCCAAATGGAGAATGGAACTCTTAACCCTGAGAAGTTTGGACATAATCTTAGTTAAATTTCAAAATTTTAAATTGATTTTGCCTCTCAGTTGATTTTGATACATTCACTTTCAATTTGATGAATATGTTTTAGAACAACATTTATTGCCAGAGATTTTGTTTTGTTTTGTTTTTGAGACAGAGTCTCACTTTGTTGCTCAGACTAGAGTGAGTGCCGTGGTATCAGCCTAGCTCACAGCAACCTCAAACTCCTGGGCTCAAGCAATCCTTCTGCTTCAGCCTCCCGAGTAGCTGGGATTACAGGCATACACCACTAAGCCCGGCTAATTTTTTTCTATATATATTAGTTGGCCAATTAATTTCTTTCTATTTATAGTAGAGATGGGGTCTCGCTCTTGTTCAGGCTGGTTTCGAACTCCTGACCTTGAGCAATCCACTCGCCTCCGCCTCCCAGAGTGCTAGGATTACAGGTGTGAGCCACCATGTCTGGCCTGCCAGAGATGTTTTTTTCTATGATAGGGCTAGTTCCTTCTTGAAATCTCTCTTTAGTCAAAATTTACTAAGACATTAGGATAAATTAAATTTCATATTGATGTGCAATTTAAAATTTTCTATATTAGTAATGTATAATTTTTATGTAGATGAAATTCTTTACACTTAGCAATTTTGTTATGATATTCTAAAGTTATGATTTCTAAATGATTTCAGATACTATTTTTGTTGTCAACTATTTGATGATAAGAGCTATGTGAATAAGAAAATATCCAGATATTAGATAAGTGGTTTCCTTGATTTTTGTTTTCATTTCCTATTCTTCCCCAATTATTCTGTGACTTTGCATAAATTAGTTATACCTCTGTAGTAGTTTCTTCAGCTGTTAACTAGGATTGACATTATCTGTCTGCTCCCTAGAGATAAAATGAGAAGCTATGGTTTAGGATTTTAAAACATTTTGGATTCTATGGCTGACAGTCTGAGCATCATTTCTAATAACTCACGGGTTACATTTTCTGATTAGAAAGCATTTTCACAAATCAGATAAAAAAATACATGAATCATCATGTTTTGTATAAGAAATGAAATTTAAAGACCCTGACTTTTAAAATCCTTATTTTAAAAAATGCCTTGTGAAAATATGTTTGATGATTTAGGAATTTTAAATATATTTAAGTCCTTCTGAATTTTTTTTTTTTTTTTTTTGAGACAGAGTCTCACTTTGTTGCCCAGGCTAGAGTGAGTGCCATGGCGTCAGCCTAGCTCACAGCAACCTCAAACTCCTGGGCTCAAGCAATCCTCCTGCCTCAGCCTCCCAAATAGCTGGGACTACAGGCATGTGCCACCATGCCCGGCTAATTTTTTCTATGTATATTAGTTGGCCAATTAATTTCTTTCTATTTATAGTAGAGACGGGGTCTTGCTCTTGCTCAGGCTGGTTTCAAACTCCTGACCTCGAGCAATCCACCAGCCTCGGCCTCCCAGAGTGCTAGGATTACAGGCGTGAGCCACCGCTCCCGGCCCCCTTTTGAATTTTAATGGCCTACTTTCTGCAAATAACCTTAAAAAAAAAAAAAAAAAAGCAAGCATTTAATTGAATCTCCCAAGGACTGAGAGCTCTGAGATATTTGTAATTTTTTTACAAGGTTAATATAATATTAGATATGTCCAATCAAATATAAAACTTTGAAGGGAAACTTTCATTTTGTTAATCCCATTTATAAGCCTGGATCAAATATCCCTTCCTCTGTGACGTCATATCAGCTAGCAAATGCTCACCATCCTGCTACTCTATAACTCTATAACTCCTTTCACATGGAACTGGTGTGCTTCTTCCCACATACCTTTGTGGAGGCAGAGTGTTTTCCATGTTCAGCCTCCCCTCTGTCTGCTTCCTGAGGCTGGGAGAATATCTTGTTTGTCTTTGTTTTTCTGTCAAGGCCGTTACTGACATAGTGTAGGGACCATTGGAAGATCCAAACTTACTGAGAGCTGCTTTAAAACAAAAATCTGTATATTGGGAACAATATAGTATTTAACTCTAGTTGTTTCAAGGATTATTTGAGGTAAATCCCCTGCATATGCTAAGCATTACATAATGTTGTTTTTGTTTGTTTGTTTGTTTTTTACCTCTGTGCCCTCACTAGTTAGAATATTCAAGGAATTTAATTTGAGTAAGATATGTTAAATATCTTTTTGGTTTTGCAGCTTAGCTTTGAGGTACTGACTTTGGTCTAACTTCAGACTGAATTCATCCCTTGTTAATTATGTCATCTTGGAAAATTTACTTAACTTGTCTAAACCAGGGATTGGCAAATTAGGGCCCATGGACCAGATCTAGCCCATTGCCTGTATGTTCTGTAAGCTAAGAATAGTTTTTATGTCTTTAAGTGGTGGAAAAATCATAATAATATTTTCTGATACATGATAATTAGAATACATTCATATTTTATATCTATAAATATGGTTTCATTGGAGCTCAGCCACACTCATGGCTGCATTCATGCTAGGGACTTGAGGGTTGAGTAGTTGCAAGAGACTATATGGACTACAAAGCCAAAAATATTTACAGTCTGACTCTTTGCAGAAAAAAAGTAGCCTACTCCTGCTGTAAACCTCAGTTTCCTCTTTTGTACAATAAATAAAATAGCATGTGTTTCAAAGGGGTTTAAGATAATGCATGAAAAATGTTTAGCACAGTGCCAATACATAATAAACACTCAGTAAATATAGCCATAGCTGTTGTTATTATAACATTTATAGTTTTTTATCTTCTACTAATTTATGCAGTGAAGGTTGGCCTAAAATTCTCTTCATTTTCAACTCATTAAAAATAATTCTTTAGGTTACACTTGTTGCTCAGAGATCTCTCCAGTCTCTTTTCAGCCTGCATTGCTGCTTAATTCTCCATTACCCTCCTCATCCTATTCACTGTAGCCCAACTGTACATCCTGTCACCTTCTTAGACCTTCTGTTCTATTCCTCCTTTCATCTCTCATTTCTACATGCCCAAGTTCAGTCCATCTTCCAGAACCTGCACCAATATCACTCCCTCCTGGAATTCTTTTACTATCTGTGTGTACACCGTGCCACACAACCCCCTCCCTCACAACAAAAACAGACACAAAAGAATATTGGGACTAAACCCAGTCTCTCTCCACAACCTTCTTATCTCTGTATCGTAGGGCACACATCACTTTATTTGATGTCTTAATTATTTATATACTTCTACTATGCACTCTTTCAGGGCAATACTATTATTACTGGTAAGTGTAGTCTGTAAAGTATGCCAAATATTGTTGACACATAACAGTACCGAATCGATTTTTTTATGCATATATTTTATTTTTTTGCTTTCTCAAGTTGGATTTTTTTCCTGTTTTCAGACAGAATTCCTTGATATAAGCCAGCTGTCTTTTATCCGTGATTTGGGACCAAAGGGCATGTAAGTTGCAAGAAACCTTTAAAGAGAAATGTGAAAAGCTGATCAGCATTAGCATGTGATTTGGCGGCATGCCGTGGGCCTCCCTGGCTTTGCTGCCGGCTTCTTTTCTCCCCAATAGAGTTAGAGCAACTGAGCGGATCTGTTCATACAAAATAGAGCATCTTCTACAATAAACAAGGGTAGCAACTGCTTCTCCATCTTTCTCGTGTGCTTACAGCACAGATTCCCTCTAACCCCATATCCATAGCAAATGTGCTATATGGGAGAAGGCATTCAAAATCGAATATATAAGATCTCTCTTCCAATGACTCATGAAAATTAACTGTTTATCACTCATTTTGATGACTATTTAAAAATAATACTGTGTAACATATATGTTGAGTAACCAGATGGAAATATATTTAATAATTATTTTCCTTCACAATATTAGAGCTTGATAATAGAGCTCAACTTTTACAGTTTTGTTCTTTTTGTTCTTTAAGAGCATTATTAGTAGTTGTTTCAAAAAATTTTTTTCTTTTGTTTAGCCGTTGTTATTGCTTTTCCTTGTCACATCTTTCGACAGCAAGATGTTACTACCTTTAAGGCTAGTAGCTTTGTTCTATGCCCTTTTGCTAGAAGTATACATGGAGGGGTGCAGCAGTGCCCCACCATGGACTCTGCTGAGCCAGCTGCTGAACCATGCCTGCGCAGACATGTGGAAAGGCCTGGGGTCTTTTTCAAGTTGCCATGGTGACTGGAGGGAACACAGCATTCAGAGCCATGAGCCAGGATGCTTAAGGTCCTGCATTGTGCACAACAGAATTATGCTGCCCCAAATGCCAAAAAAGCTATTTCTGACCAAGATGTTTTAAGATTAGTTGACAGAGTACACAGCCTAATAGATATGACAGTAAGTTAGCTGAGGGTGAAGGAGGAGACTGTGGGGAGAAAAGTCATGTGAGAATGAAATGGTTTCTTTAGTCACAACTTGTGAGGCTGTACAAGCCAAGTGAGAGTTGGAGATTTGAAGATGATAGGTTAATTTGACGTCTCTTTCAGAGAAGGTATGATAATGAAAAGATCCGGGGGACACAGAATACCAGGTTTGAATTGCTGTGGCCAGGGAAGAGCCTGCTACAGATGGTCAAAAAGGTAGGACTTAATGAGTTTGTGTGCTTGCTTGTTTTGATAAACTGGGTCTTTGGGAGAGTTTTACGTACCAGTTCTAAGTTATAAATCCTTTGAAATCCATGGTGAGCAAATTTTTAATTCTATTTTAAAATCTAAGTCCCAGTATTCATTTGAATATTCTATCTAAAACTGGACTTATAAGGAAAGTGCATGAATTATTTACATAAAAACCCAGTGGACACAGAACTCAAAAATTGGTCAGCCAAAAAAGATGTACAAATGGCCGATAAGGATACGTTCAGCCTCTGTGGAAAGCAATATGGAGATACCTTAAAGTGATACAAGTAGATCTACCATTTGATCCAGCAATTCTACTACTGGGCATCTACCCAAAAGATCAAATGACACTCTACAAAAAGACACCTGCACTCGAATGTTTATAGCAGCACAGTTCACAATTGCAAAGGTGTGGAAACAACCCAGATGCCCATCAATACATGAGTGGATTAATAAAATGTGGTATATGTATACAATGGATTACTATCCAGCTTTAGGAAACAATGGTGATATAGCACCTCTTGTATTTTCCTGGATAGAGCTGGAAGCCATTCTACTAAGTGATGTATCTCAAGAATGGAAAAACAAGCACCACATGTACTCACCAGCAAATTGGTATTAACGGATCCTCACTTAAGTGGACATATAGGAATAACATTTATCAGGGGTGGGGTGAGGAGGGTGGGAGGGAGGAGGGGGGCATGGGCAATATAGGTAATCTTAACATTTATACCCCCATAATATGCTGAAATTAAAAAATAACTATACATTAAAAAAGAAAAAGATGTTCAACATCAGTTGTAATTAGAAATATGTAGATCAAATCCACAGTAAGATACAATTTTACACTCACTAGGATGGCTATAATAAAAAAGATGAACAATAACAAATGTTGGAAATTGGAAATTGGAACCTCAGATATTGCTGGGGAAATATAAAATGGTGTAGCCACTTTGAAAAATAGTCTGGCAGTTCTTTAAAATGTTAAACATGGAGTTACCATATGCCCCAGCAAATCTACTCCTAGGCACTCATCCAGGAGAATTGAAAACAATATGTCCACACCAACCCAAAACTTGTTCTTAGCCAAATTATTCATAATAGCCCCCCCTAAAAGGAAATAACTAAAATGTTCATCAATCGATGAATGGATAAACAAAATGTGTTACTTCCATACAGTGCAATCTTATTCATCCAGAAAAATTAATGAAGACTTGATGGGTGGGGTTTCTTTTTGGGATGATGAAAGGGTTCTGAAATTAGATAGTAGTGATGGTTATACATCTCTGTGAATATGCTAAAAACCATTGGATTGTATACTTTTAAAAGCAAGTTTTATGGTATGTGAATTATATCTGAATAAAATTTTAAAATTTAAATTAAAAAGCAAATGAAGCACTGTTACGTGCTACAATATGGATAATATTTGAAAACATTATGATAAGTAAGAAAAAAGTCAGGTACAAAAAGCGACATATTATATGATTCCATTTATATTGAATGTCCAGAATGGGCAAATCTGTGGAGACAGAAGCAGATAATGGGTTTTTAGGGGCTAAAAGGAGGTTTCCTTTTATTAATTTAATTCTGCTAATGGGCATGGGATTTCTTTTTTGCGGTGAGGAAAATATTCTGGAGTTAGATAGTGGTAATGGTTATACAACTTTATGAATATGCTAAAAACCAATGAACACACTTAAAAAACCTAAAAAGCAATTAAAATTAGGCAGATTTCAGGGATAATTTTAGAGTTACATTTTTGAAAAATGTATATCATGGTAAGTGTGATATAGACAGGAAACTTTATTTTATATCTTATGTCTTAACCAATTGAAGCCTCCTTGAGGAGTACTATCTCATCTGATTCTTATGTATGTCCTCCAAGTCTTATACATAATAGACAGCAACTATTTGTTGCAAGAATAATGTACTGGGATTTGGAAAAAGTATTAAAACACTATTAACAAATCAGATATAAATATTTTATATCTATATGTAATATTTCCCCCAACTTGAAAAGAAGTGAGTTTATGTGTAAAAATGGAATTGAGCTATGTACATACACAAAATAAAATTAATAGTGGGATCTAACTTTAAACATACTGATTTAAAATATGCTACTATTCCATGTCTAGAGAGCTTGAAAAGAAATATGCTACGGACAAAAAATACCATTAAATTGGGCTTTTACTTTCTGGATTTTGAAAGGATAGAAGAAATTACAAGGAAAAGATCAGAAGATTAGTCTCAAGAAAATGAAAATTTTTGTTACAGAAAACAATTTTACTAAAATAAAAAGGGAAATGATACACTAGAAGAAGTATTTGCTTTCAAATAAACTTCTCTAACTTGTATAAACTCTGGGTATAAGTAACATCACAAGCGATCCAGAGAGTCCCACTTGAGGCATCTTCTCACCACAAATTGTACAGAGCCCTGGGGAATACCCAGACCAAATGCCAGGCAGGGAGAGGATGGAGTATAAGCCAGCCTGCTCCTGCCACTGGTTCTTGCCCTGCAGGGTGCCTGTCTTGGAGGCAGGTCATTCCAGCCCACTGGGGCCCTGGTGCAGATTCCTTCTGACCACCGCTCCCCAGTCATTAACTGCCCAAGGTAGCTGCAATGTGCCAACCACAGCGTTTCAGACTTTAAGCACCTGTGGTTCTTTGACCAAAAACTCTCTGGGCTGCCAAAGCTCTCCTGCATGTGTGAAGAGCAAACTGGAAATGTCAACAACCCCAGGACAACAGCCCTCAGCCAAGAGCTGATAGGAGCCCAGCCCCCTCCACCCTCAGCTGAGAGGATGCTGCAGCATGTTCGGCACTGTCTCTCAGAGCTCCCCAGCTGGCCTATAGCCCAGTTGCCTATAATAAAATGCATGAAAAAACTCCATTTGTGGCTCCCTTCCTTTGTTATTCCTGTCTTTCTTCTGATCCCTACTGGTGCTTCTTGGCACCATCTCCCTATTAAGATCCTTTATAAACTACTTTATACACATACTTCCTTATCTGAGAGTTTATTCTGGGACAACCCAACCTAAGGCATCTACTCAAGGAATGGAAACCTTGGTCTGATTCATTCGGTCATTTATTGTCTAATGTATGCCAGATTGTGTTCCAGGTACTATAAAGACAGTCCCTGCCCTCATAGAATACTATTAGAGAGGAAAGGCAGACACTAAGCAGACAAGCAATGTAAGTTGTTAAATTCAGGTAGCAATAAGAGCTTTGAAGAAAAAAAAAAGGAATCATAAGGGATACAAGATTGGAGAGGGTGACTTCGCCCCCAAGGTCAAGGAAAGGCTCTTTGAGGACTGACTTTAGAGTCTAACCTCTATAAGCAGCAGCAGCCAGGAAAGACGGGAGGAAAACTTTGTTACATCACAGAAATATGCCTCCTCCTTTTTTAACTTTAGATTAAATCATGGTTCAACAGGACAATCTAAAAAGATATGATCCTCCCTGGAATGAAACGTGTCATCATTTTAAATTGTGTAAATCTTTCTGTGAAGATTAAAGCCTTGGTTGGTTCCATATGACAAGTATTTCCTGAATCACATTTATGGGATTTAAAGTATCAGAAATCATATATATAGATGATAAAATATAGCCGACAAAATTAGTTTAGGAAGTTTCTCACCATAGACAACTATTGTATTAATGTATAAATGGGAGTTACTTTTAAAAGCGACACCTGTTCATAACTCCCTTTTTCTTCTTTTGCCCCCATAAAAAACATCCTGATCATTTTTTAGTCTATTCTATTTTGACCAATTTAGATAAGGGAAACAGGGTGATTAAACTTCCCATCAAGTCTCATGATAACCTTATCTCAGAGATGAGTAAAAAGAAGGAAAAAGAAAATAAGACACACACAGGAAACATTTTTTCCTAAATGTAAAACATCTGCTGAAACAGCAAATTTATTGAGAAAATTCTCTCTACCTGGTAGTGGGCTAGATGTTAAGTTTCTCATCTCAAATAATGTCTTAAGAGAAAAAGGTTTATACATGTTAAGAAATAAATTTAGAATTTACTGAACTATAAGCTATACCAATAATTAAAATTTTTAGACAGTGGCAATGTCTAAATGGTTTCATTTACTCTCAAGACTGATTCATGCAACCATTATTTGGGTGGCATGATGGCTTTGCCTGAACATTTGCTCTGGGCTGCTAAAATACTATTCTAGACACTAGGTGGATAGTGGTAGCATGACAGCCACATTCTCTGTTCCCCTGGATCTAACCCTCTAGTGGAGGAGAGAGACAATAAACAAGTAGACAAGCAAATACTTCCATATGTGCTACAAAGAAGCTAATGCAGGACAACATGATGGAGTAAAGTTGGGATGGGGAACAGTTGAGGATCCAGAAGAAAGAGTTTCTAAGCAGAAGACCAACAAATGCAGAGCCCCAAAGAACAAGCTTGGCAAACCTGAAGAACAGTCAAACCAACACGGTGAGAGAGAACAGCAGGATATGAGTCTAGGAAGGGGAGGGCTGGTTCACGTGGGCCCATCTGCATTTTAATGTCATGGCAAGTAGTAGCAAAGGCCGGAAGCATCTTGTTAGAACAGACCAGGGGTCCTCAGACTTTTTAAACAGGGGGCCAGTTCACTGTCCCTCAGACTGTTGGAGGGCCGGACTATAGTTTAAAAAAAATTATGAACAAATTCCTATGCACACTGCACATATCTTATTTTGAAGTAAAAAAACAAACGGGCAAAAACACCCACATGTGGCCCGCAGGCCGTAGTTTGAGGATGCCTGGAACATACCATAATCACACATGTTTTATAACAAGGGTAGTCATAATAGCTCACATTTATCGGGGCCAGGCACTGTGCTAAGCAATGTGCATGAATCACCTCACTTAATCCTTTATAATTTTGTAGAAATAGAAAAAAAATCCTAAAATTTGCATGGAACCACAAAAGATCCTGAATAGCCAAAGCAATCCTGAGGAAAAAGAACAAAGCTGGAGGCATCACATTACATGATTTCAAAATATGCTACAAAACTATAGTAAACAAAACAGCATCATATTCACATAAAAACAAACACATAGACCAATGGAACAGAATGTAGAACCCAGAATTAAATCCATGCATTTACAGCCAACTCATATGTGACAAAGGACCCAAGAACATACATTGGGGAAAGGACATTCTTTTCAATATCTAGCTGGGAAAACTAGATATCCATTTACAGAAGAATAAAACTAGGCCCGTCTCTCAACATATACATAAATCAAATCAAAATGGATTAAAGACTTAATAATAAGACCCAAACCTAGAAAACTGCTAGAAGAAACTTCCAGGGGAGATGCTTCCAGACATTGGTCTAGGTAGGGATTTTGTGGCTAAGGCTTCAAAAGCACAAGCAACAGAAACAAAAATAGACAAATGGGACTATCTTAAGCTAAAAAGCTTCTGAACAGCAAAGGAAATAATAGAGTGAAGAGACAACCTGTAGAATAGTAGAAAATGTTTGCAAATTATTCATCCAACAAGGGACTAATATCTAAAATATACAAGGAACTCAAACAATAGCAAAAAACAAATAATCACATTAAAAAGTAGGCAAAGGATCTGAACAGATGTTTTTGAAAAGAAGACAATGGCAAACAGGCATATAAAAATTGCTCAACATCACTAATCATCAGGGAAATTCAAATCAAAACCACAATGAGATATCATCTCACCCCAGTTAGGATGGCTATTATCAAAAAGACAAAAAATAACAAATGCTGGTTAGGACGCAGAGAAAAGGGAAGTCTTATATGCTGTTAATGGGAGTGTAAACTAGTTCAACCATTATAAAAAACATATGGAAGTTTCTCAAAAAAGTAAAACTAGAACTATTAATACTGTATCATTCAGCAATCCCACTACTGGGTATTTATTAAAAGGAAAGGAAATTGGTATATCAAAGGGATACCTGCACCCCCATGTTTAGCAGCACTATTCACAATAACCAAGATACAGAATCAACCTAAATGTCCATAACGGATGAAAGTATAAAGAAAATGTGGTGTATATACACAATGGAATATTATTCAGCCATAAAAATAATCAGATCCTGACATTTGCAGCAACATGGGTGGAACTGGAGATCACTATGTTAAGTGAAAAACCAAGCACAGAAAGACAAATATCACATGATTTCACTCATTTGTAGATTTATCATAGATTTATTTTAAATACTGAGTTCCCATGCTTTATTTACAATATGACTTAATTTATATTCAGGTGTTCCAACCTTACTCTTCCATAATATGGAAACACATAGAGTGCTTTACTTTAGAGTGTGATATTACTTATGCCCACTGTTACTTTATTTAGTTATCGATTGATTCATGTGATCACTCTATAATTGCAGGTAAATATGAATACATGGCGTTATGTGCAACATGATAAAGTTACCATTTGCATTCACTTTAAATGGATCCTATCTCTGTTCTCTTGCTCTTGTCCTTGTCAATGTCATGCCCGTCATCTATAATACATCCCTACTAATCAAAGTGTGGCCCTTGCATAGCCATCACCTATGAGCTTGTTAGAAACGCAGTCTCAGGCCCGCCCTACTGAATCAGAACCTACATTTTAACAGGATCCCCAGGTGATGCATATGTACATTAAAGTGTGAGCATAGCTGTTGTGTATTATTGCAGCAAATTGCTCACCTGCCACACTCTGTCCCTCTTTCTTGCTGTACCTTTTATTCTAAAACATAGTTTCAATACCATTATTGTCCTATTGCCTAGTCAGGGCATGAGGAGTCCTTTATTGAATAAGCACCTTGGTGTTGTTTTTTTTTGTTTTTTTTTTTAAAAAAACCACACAGATTATCAAGCCTTTTCAAAGGATGTAGGGTGGGGCTTGGGAATCTGTTATTTTTAAGAAGCATCTCAAGAGATTCTAGTAGGCAAGTTTAGGAAACACTGGTTCCATGATACGAAATCAGCCTCCTTTGTATGGCTTTCAGACTCCCTCAGTGTGGCCTTTGCCCATTCCCCGCCCCCCCCTCTTCTCTTACTGTGCTCCCTGAGAGCCTGGCCACACCAAACTGTTCCCTTGACACATGCAACATTTCCACATCTTAGTTCCTGTGCCAACTCTTCCCTCCCTTGTGGGATGGACATCTTGGCCCTCCCCGGCTTTGGGCTGTAATTATTAGGCTCCTTCAGACACCACCTCTTCAGGACAATGCCACTAGCTCATCCTTTTAGAACTAAAGACTCCCTCCTCCTTGCACCCACCACTTTTTTGCTTTTCTCTTTTAGTACTTATCCCCTTCAGCATAGAGTTATTGTTTATGCCCTCACTAGCCTTGTAAGCTACTTTGAAAATGTAATTCCAGGGCTGATTTGTCTTTGTGCTATTCCAAACTTTACCCTAACTCTCAGCTTATCACTGTACATTTCCATTATGAAGCTCTTCAGTATGTATTAAATCGAATGGAAACATGGAAACAAAAATGGAATATTTTTGAGAGATGTTCATGTCCAATTAAATGTCCTTAAATCCACAAAAATTTTGAAATGAACAACAGGACATGTGGAATATTGGATGCTAACTGGATTTTTCAAAGGGGGGTTTTACTTACCAGTAGACTTATTTGCCTCTTTCATAATAGTTTGTTAGTAAATATCAACCCATTCTGTTCTTCCAACAGCAGGGGCTCCTTTTATACATACTTCGAGCACTGCTTGCCAGTCCTGGGGACATTCTTCCAAGTGTTGCCATTAGTGTTTAAAGAACTACTGCCAGTACTTCTTAGAAACACATAAGAGAAAAGTTTTGGTTTGTTTTTTTTGTTTCATAGTGATTTTTAAAAAATAAATCCCCCATGTAAAAAGTGAATTTATGTCTACGGTCTGCTAGAGTGATTACTTAAGACTTGTCATTATAATTAGGTCTTTTTTGTTTCAGTTATTCAATACAATTTTAAAAGTACTTCTTGCTTTCTTACAGATGGTTAATAGTGAAAGATTCCTTTTTACTGTATATGAAACCAGACAGCGGTGCCATTGCCTTCGTCCTACTGGTGGATAAAGAATTCAGAATTAAGGTGGGGAAGAAGGAGACAGAAACAAAATATGGACTCCGAATTGATAACCTTTCAAGGTAGAAATTTCAAATATTTAAAAAGGATTTCTACAAAAATCTCTTAAAGACAAAGTTTTTCTCTAAACCTTAAGTGAAGAAAGAGGTAACATAATTTAAATGTTAGAAAATCATAATTTATAACTCATCCTCAATCAAAAGTGATGGAACTACTTTTTCCCTGTATAAATTTTAAAGAATAGAATATCCTATGTGCAACAGAGTCAGAATAAGCAATCTCATGTGTAGATGGATGCCTACAGTAACAAAATTACTACTCAATTTGCTGAGTTACCAAACAGATAAATTAGAGTGCTGGTTTGCATTTTTAAAAAATGAAATACAATTTTACCTTATAAATCATATCCTGTAACTAAAAAAGCACCTAAAAAGTGATTTGATTTCCAAAAATTCTGTTTACATACAGATTTTTTATACATAGTTACTAACATATATATGTGTATATATATACATGTGTATATATTTGTGTGTGTGTGTATATATATATATATACACACACACCCCTACTAATGTGTGTGTGTGTGCGTGTGTGTGTTGTAAAAAGGTGCTCAACTTCCTGATATTCTCTAAGAGTAGATTGTTATTGGAAATGCAATGGTACTACCATTAAACCCTCCTCCTGGTACTGCATTCCTGTTTCCCCACGAGCCACAGAAGTCAGGCCACACTTCTCAATGGTCCCTATGGCAGTTCCTTCATTGGCCCCCTTCTCTGCATTTCCCACCCTCACTCACTTGTGCACCATTGCCAAATGAATCTGTTCAAATCCAGGTTTCACCAGCATCCTTCCTGGTATAAGGGCTCCCTGTCATTTTATCAAATAAGCCCAAATTCCTACATTTGTAATTTAATGGCATTTATTTCTTTACCTTTATTTTCAAACCCTCCCTAATGCAGCCTTTCCGGTTCCATGGAGGCAATTCTCATTACCATCCCTTCTCATGTATTTTTTTCTTTCCTCTCCCCGTTTGCTCTTTCTATCTCCATATTTGGAATAGTTCTTCCCCCCCCCCTTGACTCTGATTCATATCCTGTGATAGGGCCTCTGCTTGTCACTTATCTCCTCCACAAAGTCTTCTTCTCAAAACTGACTTTCAGAGGCATTTCCACTCAGTTGGAGTAGTGTTTGCAAGGTGGGTCAAGCCCAGGCCCCTTCCGCGCCCTCCTGCCTCAGCCCCAGAAATTCGCACGGCCTTCGCAACACCAGATGGGGGACACTTCTCCCCTCTCAGCTCCAACATGTCTCACCTCCCTGGCTGCACACCCCAGCAGCATCAGCTTTGGACAAAGGCCAGCATCCATCTCTGACATATGGAGGAAAGCAGTCTGGACATCCCTAATCTTTATACATGATTATTTTAGGATCTGTGAACACAGCCCCTTCCCTGCTTCTCAACAGGATCACTGCAGGTGTCCTGGAAAAACCAAACTCTCCCTCCTCACCCGAAGTCCTCTTCTTATCTCAATGGAGTAGATTTCTGAGTATAGAAATCTCTACAGAGCGGTGATACAGCTCTGACAACCCGTTTTCCTTTGAACTTCAACTGTGGATAACTGATTTTCCCCTGTTGGTTGTAGTCACCAACTCTGACATTGGGTATCAAGAAAACTTTCTGTAATCTACTCTGAGGTTTTTGTTTTTTGTTTTTTCAGCATTTGTAAATCTGTAACAGTTTAGAATAGTTTATTCACTAGTGACAGAAAAATCCAATGCAAACTGGCTTATACCAAAGAGAGTGAATCAACCACGTTGGGCACAGCTGATTCTGATGCTCAAGCTATGTCATTGAGACATGTCCCTGCCATTCTCAGCCCTGTCTTCTGGGGATGTGCTCTATCCTCAAACTGGTCCGTCGTGGCAGTGAGATGGCTGCCTCCCACACTCACACCAAGTTCAGCGGAGGGGGGAGAGTCTCTTCCTGGCATTCCTGAACGAGTCCTTGGATTCACTCTCACTCATTGGGTGGAATTGGCTTATGCATCATGCCCGAACCACTCTCTGGGATCTGAGGGGTGGAATATGCCATTTTGCTTAGCTTTGGTGGACTCAGAGAAGGGAAGGGATACTCTCTTACAGCACATCAGGATGATATTTCCGGAAGCCAAGGGAATGCACACTAGACAGCACAAGGGGAAATGTCCTCAGGAGGAGCCAACAACTCTAACTAACACTTACAAGTAGGATCTCACCGTACACCTCTGTCGTTGTCTTCCTTGTGCCTGGCACGGCTCTAGGGCTATAGCAAGTACCTTTACGCATGTTTGGATGAGTGAGTGAATAGATAATTTGAACATTTATTTTTGTTATATTGAATATTTTTAGAAATCCTGCCAAAAATTTTTAGAAGCCTGCTTTTTTGATGTTTTTTGCCTAAATTTTTCAATTTGTGTTGCTACAGTACCAAATAAAATAGGGAACATTTAATCCTTAAATTTGTTTTGGGAGGACACAGAGTGACCATTCTTATCCACATTTTGCTTTTCTTTAAAGGACACTTATTTTAAAATGCAACAGCTATAGGCATGCTCGGTGGTGGGCAGGGGCTATAGAAGAATTCATCCAGAAACACGGGACCAACTTTCTTAAAGATCATCGATTTGGGTCGTATGCTGCTATCCAAGAGAACATTTTAGCTAAATGGTAAGATATTTTTGCTCTAAACTTGTCAAGGTAGTCATAACATCTAATACTGTAGTGGTCTAAATTCACCTGGAATCAATTTTCAAAACTGTGAAAAGATACTATGCATTATACTTAACAAGAACCTTTCTTTTTGAGGCAATTGTGGTACTACCCTATCATAGATTAGTTTTCCAAGTTTATTTTTATTTCCACAGTGAGCTTAACTAGCTTTAGATTTTGAAGTTTGATTTTTACAGCTAACTTCATACATTTTTTAATGATGCAAATGGAAAGTTTATTTAAGTTATTAGCCATAATTTTAGGAAAAAGCATTTACTTACTAGGTATTTCTTTTAAATATAACTGTGCTTAGCAAGTTTTTCTACCCATTGATTGGAAACTGGTTTGTTTCATTCTCAGAAGAAAAACCGTGTGTGAGTTCAACAGGATAGGAGAATTCATCAGGCCTCTATGATGACGGGTTCAATTAATTCCTTGTTCTCTAAGCAGAGAAGAATCAGTACATCTGTCTAGTTACTGCCCTTCCTAGGTAGCAGAGAGGAGTTGTTATTTTCAATCCTTGCTTACCAGTTACATGCAGTAACTGGTTTTGTACAGACTCTAGGCAGTAGCTTCCACATTCTGCTTTACCATAGGATATATTTCTTTTCTTTTTCTTTGTGAAAAAAAAATGGAACAACAAATTTGTCTTTCAGGTATGTTAATGCCAAAGGATACTTTGAAGATGTGGCAAATGCAATGGAAGAGGCAGAAGAAGAGATTTTTATCACAGATTGGTGGTTAGTATTTGCCCATGGGAATTTTGTCTGGAGTTTCTATGTTTAGAAATGTGCAATGGGGTAGTGTTGTTCAAGAGTCATGCAGTATTAAAACCAGCAGTACATATGGGTGGTTTGCCCCAAATCTCAAGCAATTAACTAATAGCCTTCAATGGAAAGCTTTTTCAAAAAACTTGACCTCCAAATATATTCTTAAAATATTTAGCTTGAACAATTTTGTTTTTGCCCTTGCATTTGGAAGCAGACATCCAAATATTCACTTTAGTAAAGGTTATGCTGTAATGCAAATATAGCTGTACAAGTAATGGAAAATTACTTCCATAGGTATCTTTTTCTCATTTAGGTATGTCCGTGACCAGACCTAGTGAATACGTCTTCTGAATTGTCCCTTTGATGTTGAAATAATTCCATTTGCCTTTTACTGTTAAAATGTCCTCTGTAAAGGCTAGGCTTGATCAGTTCTTCTAGAGATACATCAGGTTGCAACTTTCTGACCCCCTTAATAAACGTCCATGATTGTTATGATGCTTATTAAAATTACTGGAAGTCTTGTGTCTAAAATTCATTTAGCTCTCAGGAAATTTTAATCCTGGAGTTGGTGTAGGCTTTGTAGTCTTACTTCAGTTCCAATTACCCATCTGCTTAGACAGTTAAAACCCATTGCAGATGCTAACATTGACTACAGTGGAAATGAAAATGTCTAAAATGTGCTTTCCTTCTAGGAACTCAGTTGCCTGAAATGCCCCCCATTTTTTTCTGTCCTGTTTCTTTCCAGAGTTTATATACCATATATATAAACTGTGTATAGATCATCATAATTCTTTTTAATTCTAGATTTTGGAGGCAGGGGATAGTAATAGGAATATGAACCTATTTTCTTCCACTGTTTTGCTTCACTGATATGGAAATCTGTAATTCTAGGACATGCTTACTCAACCTTGGCAAAATTGACATTTTTAGCCAGATAATTATTTGTTGGGGGGAGGGGAGCTTCCTGTGCATTGTAGGATGTTTAGCAGCATCTCTGGCCTTTACCCATTAGATGCCAGTAGCAGGCTCCTACTGTGACAACCAAAATGTCTTCAGACATTGCCAGATGTCCCCTGGTTGGAGCTGGGGTTGGGGACCAAATCTCTCTTGCTTGAGAATCACTGATCTGGAGTCAATAGATAAAGTACGTGGTTTTCAGCATGCTCCTATTTGTGGAGAAGCTTAATCCTGGTCTTTATACTCTTGCCAACTTTTATCTTTTCAGTCAGTTACCAGGAAGGAAAAATATTCATACTTAAGAGCTATTTCTGTGAGCACATATTTTGTAAACACTTATGAGAATAAATCGGGCTTAATGTAGTATTATATTCTTTTAAAAATATATCTGAAAGTTTGGTGAAGACATGAGAGAGACTAAAAATAGCTTTTCCATTGAGCACATATTTTCATGCTTTATGCAAGACAATAATATCTCTTTTCAAGGTTCTCAACACTAAAATAGGGCCTCTCATTTAAAGAGCTAAAGAGATGGAACTCTGAATGTTTTCTCTCCTACTTTCAGCAAGAGAATCAATCAGGCAGGGGGTTATTTCTTTTCCATGACTGAGCTAGGATAACATCTTATTACAACATACCCTTTGAAATAAAGCCTTCAGAGTAAGTTCCCTCATAACAAGTGAAGACAATTCTTGTCATGCAAAGACAAAAGTGCAAAAGGGAGTATTCAGAAACTTAACCAAACCCTGTTATGTTTAGATACGACAGTGCGGGCGTATCTACCATAGCTTCTGTACTGAGTCTGTATGTTAAATGTGGCCGAAATAAACAGGATTAATAAAACAGAAGAATAAAGAAGAAAAATAATGATATTTAAAAGAGGGAGTTGATAAAGGAAGAAAAACAGAAGACAGAAAAGTTGGGCTGGAGACAGATTATAAAGAAAAAATCAGCATTGTATTATTGACTGGCTCACAAGCAGACAATTCTAGGTGAAAGAATACATCTTCTGAATGTATTTAAGTTGGTTTTAAATGAAACTTTAAGTTGATTTTATTAATGAACTTTTTAAATGAAACTTTAAGTTGATGTTATTAGTGTTTCTCAAATGGAGTTTTAGCCTCTTTAGTAATTATTTATTAAAATAATGTTGTGGGGTTTGACCAGCACTTTTTTAAAGACTGGCATACGATAGAAAAGAGAATGGAAGGGAAGAGAAAGGAAGGGTGTAATGTAAGCATGAGTAAGGGTTACAAGTTTTCGAAACTTTTATTTCAGTGATAGATAGATAGACAGGGTGTTGGTTTGGGTGTATATTGTATTTCTTTCTGTGAGTCATGGCCCAAAAAGTTTGAAAGCCACTGACTTTCAAAAATTTGAAAAGGTTTTTTGTAAAGGACCAGAAAGTAAATATTTTAAACTTTTCAAGTCATGAATAGTCTCCAAAAAGCATTCTTTGTTTTGTTGCAACCCTTTAAAAATATAAAAACCAGTCTTAGCTTGCAGGTTCTACTAAAACAGTAAATGGGGAACATTTGGCTTGTGAACTATAGTTTGCTGGCACTTATCTTAGAATGTAGATTTAATTTACTATATTTTATCAATGCTAAGAGATAAATGTATGTTTAACTTTTTAAGAAACTCCTAATGTGTTTTCCAAAGTTGTTGTACCATTTTTCATTTCCACCAACAATGTATGAGAATTACAATTCTTCTGCATAATTGTTAGCACTTGGTATTGTCAGTCTTCATTCCAAAGGGTATACAGTAGTATATATCATTGTGATTTAAATTTGTATCAGCAGCATCTTTCCATGTTGAGCATATTTTCATGTGGTGTTTGGACATTTGTCTAACTTTTTTGGACATATATACTCAAATCTTTTCCTTCTTTCATTATTGGGTTGTTTGTCCTCTTACTCAGTTGTAAGAGATCTTTTTACATTCTAGTTAAAGTACTTGTTCCATTTCATTTGGGCCTTCATGATTTCTGTTAAGAAATTTTCCGTCACTTGAATGATTATTCCCATATAAGTAACATGTTATTTTCTTCTGAGTGCTTTCCATATTATTCCTCTGTCTTTTTGGTTATGATGTTTGGATTTATCCTGTTTGGATCTCTAAGCTTCCTGAATTCATAGCTTTATAACTTTTGCCAAATTTGAGAAATTCTCAGCCGTTCTTTCTTTCTTTCTTCTTCTTCTTTTTTTTTTTTTTTTTTTTTAGCCATAGGTATAGAGAACAGCCAGATGGCCATTATTTCTTCAGACATTTTTTCCTGAACTTTTCTCTTTCTCCTTTCCTTCTGAGTCTACAGTAACATAAACAGTGCCTTTTGGTATTGTCCTCCAGTTTCTGAGGCTGTTTCTTTTTTTCCAACCTTTTTTCTCTTTGTTGTTCAGATTGGATAATTTCTATTCATCTTTCTTTAAATTCACTAACTCTTTCCTTTGTCATTTCCCTTCTGGTATTGAACCCACCCAGTGAGATTTGCTTGTTTTTCTTTTCTTTCTTTCTTTCTTTTTTTTTTTTTATATTTGTGTTTTTTTACTAGAAAATTTCAGTTTGGTTCTTCTTTATATCTTTCATTTCTTTCATCAGACTTTCTGTCTTTCTGTTTATTTCAAGAATGTTCACCCTTATTTTGGGGGGCATTTTAATAATATCTAATAATTATTTAAATATGGATATTCTAAATATCCATGTCATCTTGCATTGGCATCTGTCGATTCTCTTTTCCATGCAAGATGAGATTTTTCTGGTTCTTTGTGTACCAAGTACTTTTTAATTGTATTCTAGAAAATTTTAATACTATGTTATAAGAGTCTGAGTCCTGTTTAAATCCTATGGAAAATGTTGCAATTTTTGTTTTAGCAGGCAGTTTACCCATTTATGTTCAATCAACCAGCCTTCTGTGGGTAGTGTTTTAATGTCAGTTTGGGTTTTTTTTTAAAAGTAGTGCTATTCAGATCTGTCCCATAGCTGTGTCACCTAATGGCCAATCTGGGACATAAGTGGGGCTCTATTTCTTAGTTCAGTTCTCAACCTCTTTAATATGATGTTTAGGATCAAATCCAGCTACGGAGTGGCATCATAAACAACTTTATGAGTTTGCTTTCCCAAGCTCCTCCCTCTTCTTTCTAGTTTCCTGTGGCTTTCTTCTTTAGTCTTCTAGCTGGAACAGTGGGGTTTTATTTATTCTGCTCTGCCACATGTTTTCTGTGTTGGTAACCATGTCCAGAGCCAAGCCAAGGGTACTTACATCACTCCCTTGGGAATCACAGCACTTCCACTTGGAGAGGAAAGCTCCTCTCTCTCAGAGTTCTTGGTGCCTGTAAGCTCTCCACTAGCAACCCCTGGCGCTGCCAGAAGATCCTTTTCTTCCTCCTCAAGCCTGACCTAGAGAACTTTCAGAGTTTTCTATGTGCCAATGCCCAATTCCAGATTTTCCCTCTAGGCCAAAGAAGCAAAGAAAGAAAAATGGTAAACTCATCAGTGGTTATGCAGTACTTCAAATTCTGTTCTTCAATATTACATCTTCCAATTCACGAATACTATATATCTTTCCATCTATTTGGATCTTATTTAATTTTTCTTGGCAATGTTATGTACTTTTTGTGTATAAGTCTTACACATATTTTGTTAAATTTATCACTGAATACCTTATATTTTTTGATATTATTGTAAATGATATTTTTAAAATTCATTTTCCAGGTGTTTATTGCCATTATACAGAGCTAGAAATGCAGTTGATTTTTGTGTGTTGACACTATATCTTGTGACCTTGCTAAATTCACTTATGAGTGCTAGTACCTGTTTGTGGATTCCTTAGAATTTTATCTATAGATGATCATGCAATCTATGAATAAAGACAGTCTTACTTCTTCTATTCTAATATTTATTCCTTATATTTTTTTTCTTATCTTATTGCATTAGCTAATATCACCAGTAAAATGTTAAATAAAAGTGGTGAAAATGGACATCTATGTCTTATTTTCAATCTTAGGAGAGAAGCATTCAGTTTTTTCCATTATGTGTGATGTTAGAGGTAGAATTTTTTATAGATGCCCTTTAATACATTTAGGGAGTTTGTTTCTATTTATAATTTGTTGAGAGTTTTTTTTTGTGGATAAATATTGAATTTTATCAAATATTTTCTGCATTTAGTGAAATGATCATTTTTCTCCTTTTTAGTTAATGTGGTCCATCACATTGATTGATTTTCAATTTTTAAACCAACCTTATTTTCCTTGAGTAACCCCACTTGATCATAATCTAGTATCCTTTTTATAAGCTGTTGAGTTTTTGGTAAATATTTTTATTTCTGTGATCATAAGGGATATTATTCTGTAGTTTTCTTTTTTTGCATTGCCTTTGTTGGGTTTTGGTATCATAAGAATGCTGGCCTCATTAAATAATATAGTAAGGGTTCCCTCCTCCTTCATTTCCTGAAAGAATTTTGGTAGGATTGACATTATTTCTTCCTTAAATATTTGACAAAACTCACCTTATTAAATTGTCAGAATCTGTAGTTTTCCCTGTGGGAAAGCTTTAAATTATGAATTCCATTTTTTAGGGTCAGATAAACTCTATATGTAATAATTTCATTTTATTTTCATTTTGGAAACATTTTATTCAAGACATTTGTTCATTTCATCTAAAGTAGCACAAACATTGGCTGAAAGTTATTTATAATATTCCTTATTATCCACTTAATATCCTTTTAATGTCTGTAGGCCCTATAGTAATTTCCTGTCTTTTACTCATATTTTCATTTTTTTTGGTTTGTTTTTCTTAATCTTCCTAGAAGTTTACCAGTTTCATTGATATTTCAAAGAGCTAACTTCTGGTTTCATTGAAATTTTCTGTTGTTTTTCAGTTTATCTTTCATTGATTTGCACTCTTACCTTTATTATTCCCTTTCTTTTTACTTTGAGTTTAATTTATTCTTCTTTTTCTATCTTTTTAGGATGGAAGCTTTGATCATTAATTTTAAACATTTTTCGTCTTTTCCTTATGAGCACTTAAAGTCATAGAATCTTCTAAATAGTACATTTATTTAGAGGTACATTTTAATATCTCTGAAACCAAGATGTATCTTATACTCAACAACATCTTACAGTTCTAATTGGCATAATTTTTCCTTTCTTAGTTGTACATGTCATTGGTGTCCTAGACTCAGTGAAATGTTCTTTTGCACTTTATCTAATAATTGCTTAGTAAAGATCCTGATATAATCATGCTTGATGAGTTATAGCTGCTTTCTCTTTGCCACATGGCCATTGTTTATGGTTTGTTCAATAGCATGAATAACAGGGTTTTTTTATCAGTCATTATCCTCAAAATCTAGTAGAATGCTCTGCATACATGGTACACAAGGTGTATAGATTAAATACAATAAATGATGAAAAAGACTTAATTGCACAATATAGTATTAAGAGTGCCCCTAAAACGGAGGCTCTCAGAGTTTATAATTGATATGTACATCAAAAAATTTTAAGTATGCATGTGTTATTGGATATCTCCTACCTTCAGTGGATTAGCAGTGCACAATGATACACTTTTCTACTTCAAACAGGCCTCTTTTTAATTGTTCTTTGAACTTTTCCTATCAATTGCTGTGTTTTATTTATTTGTTTGTTTAGACATAGATTACCTTTGAGTTTGTTTCCTACTCTAAATTAAATATGCAAGTACCTACACTGTATGCACTCCATTTGTCTGTTTCCTTATTTATCTTCCCAATATGTATTTCCATTAGAAACTTAATCTCTTGGTTTTTATTTTTTTAATGAATTAAATAGAGCATAAAAATGACTGCCTTTCATCTCTTTAGCTCCTATAACCTTGTTGTTTTCACATGCTAGAGGACTTCCTGGCAAGGTGATATTCCAGCCTAGAATCCTGTAAGGCTTTAATCCATACAGAGTCTGCCCCTGCTCCCCCAGCTATAGCAGATCAACAGAGGAAGGTCTTTTTTTCACTATTCATTTTTCTTCATTACAGGGGAGTTACATCACATAGAGATTTAACTCAGACACTGACCTTAGAAGCCAACCCTAGGGGAAAAAGTGACTTCACTGTACTCTTAGCTGCCTTATGGCACTACTAAAAGGAGAAGACCCCAAGGGTTCATTCTTGCACCAGAAAAACTTTATATATCAGCATACCTTCCTTCTTCCCTGCTCAGAAAGTCTCAAGTTCCCATGGACATGGCTCCTTGGTATAGGAAGATAGTATGTATGTGTATCAATTAGAATGCTTTCAGTTTGAAGTACCAGAATGCTCAACTAAGCGGGCTTAAACACCTAGGATTTGTTTTTCTCATTTAATGAAAAATACAAAGTTAGGCAATCCTAAGGTTGGTAGAGTGGTCTAGTGATTCTGGGCTTATGGTCTTCTTAGAAATTCAATATTACTGCACCTCTCTAAACATCATGCTCCCATATAACGTCCATCCTAAAGCTGGAAGTATGGCAGAGCTTTCTCCTTGTGAGTGTGAGTGTGAGTGTGTGTGCGTGCGTGTGTGTGTGTGTGTGTGTGTGTGTGTTTCATCAAGGAGGAATAGCTTTCCCATTAACCTCATGTGTACCTCCTCATGTATCTCATGGTCCAGGGTTGTGTCACATCATACTCTACTTGCACAGGAGAAAGCCAATATTTAGAATATTCAGACTGTAGTAGGAGATGGGCTCTGACAGACAGCAAGGAAGAGAAGATGGAGAATGGCTATTGAGTGGGTAGTCCACAGTATCTGCATGTGTGTATATGAGTGCATGTGTGGGTGGAGGAAAGAGAGAGAGAGAGAGAGAGAGACAGAGAAAGAGAGGAGAAATAGAGATTGACTCTTTGTATGGATAAAGACTGTTTCCCATATGAAGTTGTACTTGGATCTGTAGCAAAACTTTGACCCACCACAGTGGAGAGTGGAGGATGGTAATGGCATTTGGGAAAAAATTGCCTTTGCTTCCTATGACACAATCAGAACTTTATATTCTGTTTTAGTTACTTGAAATCTTGGTTTTGTGATTTCAGGCTGAGTCCAGAAATCTTCCTGAAACGCCCAGTGGTTGAAGGAAATCGCTGGAGGTTGGACTGCATTCTTAAACGAAAAGCAGTATGTACTTTCCCAACAAATGCTTATATAGTTTTTAAATGTTTATTGCCTCTGCAATTCCTTTTCTTCTTAAAGCATTTTGAAAAGAAACTTTTTATCTTAGAGTTAGACATAAAATTGGTTAAATAATGTTTTCCAGTTCATTTGGTTCTATTTTTTTCTTATTACTTTTGAATGATAAATGTTTTAGCTTAATTCACAGTATGCATTATATTAGCATCTCTAATATTTGTTTCTTAATGAGTTATGGGAAGTTAATTTTATAGGCAAAAAAGTTGTAATAAAAATCCATCAGTGAATAATAAATGATAAAATTAAACATAGCATTTCATTTTATTCATTATTTTGTCATTTAAGCAAAAGATAAAGTCATCTGGAGAATGGTTTCAGTCATATGGGGCCAAGCTGGTGTAGAAGAGGGGTGGATTGTAGCAATTGGTGATGATTTGGTTCCAGTTTTCAGGAAGTTCATGGTAATAATGTGGAACTGTTTTCGGTGCAGTTGACCCTGTACGTTCTGGGTGAGCATTGAGTGTGCTTTTTTAATTATAAAAAGTAAATAACTGAGCAATATATAGTCACCAATGACTACATTCATAGTTCTAGTGATTTTTCCTAATGTAATGGGCCCTCAACCAAAGTAAATTAGGTTAAATTAGAAATAGATGTGGATTTATTATTTGGCATGTCCAAATTAGGTAGTGCTAAACATTTTACTATTAATGTTATTTGAAACTATCTTAACCTTTTTAAAATTCTATCATTAAACATGCTAGCCAAACTTGTAGATCCTGAATAATTCGGAGTAGTAGCATTTTTCTGTTTCTCACATTCTTCACTCATTTCTTCTTTCCTATCCTCTACATGCTGCTACCCCTTTCACTACTCACTTTCCCCTTCTCTTTCAATGTGTTTGTCCCATGCCTTTACTTTAGGATTTCTGGGGATGACCGTAAATATAGTCAGATCCCCCTGCTAATATTGAGGGCAAAAGAAGTTGATAACCTTTATTTCAGATACATGTTCTGCTGAAGAGTATCATTTTGACAGATAGTCTAATTTGTTGTATCAATGGAATTCCAGTCACAAAATTGGAAATTGTGATTCTGAAAACATTGTTTATATATTCATTAGATAATTCATTACACAGTGATTAATACTATCTCTTATGGACCAAGTACTACATTAATCACTAAAGATGCCACAGTGACTAGGATTCCAGCCCAGCCTGTGGAGAGCTTGCTGAAAGACTCATGTCCTGGGCTCAGTCCTAACCTTGCCAAACTTCTTTCTACCTATTGAATGGGCTTCAACTTTCTCCATGTTTCTCTCTGTGGAATGGTACCTTTTCCATTTTCCCTTGAGATTCCATTTTAGTAAGTTTTTCCAGCCTTGCCTAGAAATCTTCACTCATACTAGAAAATTCTCTTCTCATAATATTTAGCCAATACTTCACTGTTTTAGATTTCAATCAAAATGCACGCATTGAATGTCTACTATGTGCAGGGCATTTGGCTAATCATGTGGGGATGTACATAAATAAAAGCCATGATTCTTACGTGGAAGGAGCTTAAAAGTCCACACAAGTGTCAACTGGGTACAGAGATAGTGCCATAATTCAAAGGCAGGAGGGAGAGCACTAGGAAGGTCTGGTTGGGGATCCCCTCACAGCATGAGGCAGGTATATGGCATTTAGGATGGGCAAACATGTTTAAAAGGGAAGGAAGAAATTTTTAGGTGTGGTAAATGTTATAAGGAAATAGGAAGATGACAAGGTTGATTAAACCTGAGTGCGAGCATAGGCAGGACTGGGGGTCAAGTTGGAGCAGCTGGTTGGTGGTAGCTGGGATGTGGGGGCTTCATGAGTCAAGCCAGTGGTTTGATCTTTAGGGCAGACAGTGGGGAAATACTGTGTGTGTGTGGTGGGGGGTCTGGTGAAGGAGGGGTGACCTGATCAAGATGGTGCATTGGGAAGTTGAATCTGGTAGTGAGTGCAAGTGGGAAGAACTCAGATTTGGAAAGCTACATCTTGGATTGCTTGAATATGAGTTGTCTACAGGTCATATAAGTAAACTTGAGAAAGCTGGTAAACGCATAAGCAGAGCTCAGTAGGTATAAGAAGATCCTGCCGGGTCTTCCGCCTCTTGTTAGCTGTGTTCATCTCCTGTCGGCATATCTATCTGGTCTGCCTTTCTATCACTAGTGTGGCTTCTCTTTGCTTTTATGGCTCATGAACCCTGGTGAGGTCCCTGGTGAACACCATGGCCAAGTAGACATTACTGCTTGATGACAGTGCTTCGTTTCCATTTCATCCACTTCCTAAAGCTTGTCACTTTTAAGTAGTGGGTAATGATTTTTAAAATTTCCTAAAGAAATAGTAATACTATTAAAGATTAATTTCTTGGTGGTACATTTAGCGGAATTGCTGTTCCTTAATCTCACTACACCATATTATTACTTTGGTCATAAATTTCTTAATACTCAGATCATTCCAAATTGACATTTCATATGCACATAAGCAGTGCATCACATAAATAATTTAGTTTCTGAAAGCCATGCACTAGCTTCGCAAAGTATGGTGTTGAAACATAATATTCATTTTTTGCATTGGTGGATCCCAGAGGTCCACAAGATTGATTAAAATTTTTTTAATTGATTAAAATGTTTTTTCTTTCTGATTGTGCATATTTTTTGAGAGGAGTTTATTTATTTATTTATTTTTGAGACAGAGTCTCGCTTTGTTGCTCAGGCTAGAGTGAGTGCCGTGGCATCAGCCTGGCTCACAGCAACCTCAAACTCCTAGGCTCAAGCAATCCCTCTGCCTCAGCCTCCCGAGTAGCTGGGACTACAGGCATGCACCACCATGCTCGGCTAATTTTTTCTATATATATTAGTTGGCTAATTAATTTCTATTTATTGTAGAGACGGGGTCTCACTCTTGCTCAGGCTGGTTTCAAACTCCTGACCTCAAGCGATCCACCTGCCTCGGCCTCCCAGAGTGCTAGGATTACAGGTGTGAGCCACCACACACACCCAGCCTGAGAGGAGTTTAGGAAGAATCTCTGCCTCATAGCCAACATAGAGGCATACATAATGGCTATTTCTTAAGAAAAAAAACATTTGGTTACTCTGGTAATAACTATGTTGATATTTTCCTATTTCTTTGACCTTCTGATATATGATGTCACTATTTAAAATACTAAGCCAGTTTTAGAGGCAGATTGTTTACAACTCAAAGAAATCAGCATCCCAGGGTTTTGCACAGTTCTGTACTTACTACTCTAGGAGGTGAGGTAAGTTGCATCATAGTTATGGTAACTGTATCCTTGCACCCCAGTTGTGTATATTTCAACCCTGGAAATATGTAATATTTCTTATGAAATTTAGACTGAAGGGATCTTCAAGTGCAGTAATCTGGAGACTAACAGAAAAATGTTTAGGTCCTCAGGGGGATTTGTCTTTAGGTTGTTCTTTCTGTCCATGACCACAAGCCATACACTAGAGTTGCAGTTGATGACCAATAAAAGGGAAAGATGTCCATGTTTGAGAAACAAGACAAATAATCACATCCCTGAACAGAAAACCAAACCGAATCTTATCAAAATGATGAGCTAGAATGGCTTTCAGGGAAGAGGAGAAGGTATCTTCAATCTTTCAGGAATATGCATTAAACAAAATTGGTATTTTAAAAAAGGCAGATGAGCTTTTTTTGTTGTTTTGATAGGGTCTTGCTCTGTCTCCCTGTCTAGAGTGCAGTGGCATCATCATAGCTCACTGCAACCTCAAACTCCTGGGCTTGAGTGATTCTCTTGACTCACCTTCTAAGTGGTTGGGACTACAGGAATGTGCCAACCACGTTGGGGTAACTTTTCCTTTATGTGTAGAGACAGGGTCTCACTCTTGCTCAGGCTGGTCTCAAACTCCTGACCCCAAGCAATCCCCAGCCTCCCATAGTTCGAGGATTGTAGAAGTGAGCCACCACACCCTGTGCACATGAGCTTTAGTACTCTTAGATGGTGCCTGATTTTAAATAGTAAGGATACTATTTCTTTTTATATTTTGCTTTTAATTTTCCTAATATATTGCACCCTTTGGGTAAGTCCTCGGCAAGTTATAAAATTAGTGGTTATAATGGCGGGGGGAGGGTGGTGAGCTATCCTCAGGCGGTGGACAAATTTGGCTGCATTTAGAAAATATTTTTCCACACTACTTGGAACAATCAGAGAAAAACCTGGCTAAGAAACAAAGTCTCTTTGATTTCCACTACAAAAAAATTTATTTTTCATTATCTTCCCGTGCATTTTGTATATCAAAGGTAACTAAAAATTCCTATGGTTGATAGTGTTACGTCTGCTGTACTTGATGAGAAACTAATTAGAAAAGAGGACAGAACTTCATCTTTTAAAACTCATGTTTCATGAAGTTTATTGTCTGGAACCTTTGAGGCAGTTGAGTTCAGCAGAGATAAGAAACATGGCATTGCACAGGCAGCTCCAGGCCATCTGTTTTCCTCCTTCTCCTATTGATATTTTACTTCCCTTTCTCTAAGAAAAAAGTAATTTCCCCAGAGACACTAAAAGGCACTAGTAAAACATGGGATGTTTCAAAGGCATATTTTTAAAATTACAGAATTAACATTGGTCCTTTTTTTTCAATTTGGCTTTCATTATGCAGAAATATTTCCCACATTTTATATAAAACTATGCTATGATAACCTGGCAAATGCCTTCATTCCTAAGGAATGATTTTCCTTTGCCCTTTATAGTTAGAGTTTACCATAGTATTATGATACCTTGACCAAAAGAAGAGAAATTTATTGTTTCAGCATCACAGAAATCTTGTCACTAATTATTTATTGTGACTATAGGTATAGGTAAATACCTGTAAACCACACAAAGATGCACTTTTTATATTTAATTGCTTCCTTATTAATCATTTGTATTGAAACTAAAAAGACTTAAAAAGTCTCTACCCTATTTCCTTTAGAGTTAATTTATTTCAATGAGAAAAGACATAGTATAGAGGAATATGTCAGATATTAATATGTGGAGAGTAATAATATAATCCATTAGTGTTAACATCGCTATTATTTCAAAACTCCATCAGTTATCCAGGTGAATGGAAAACTGTAGGATTCAGACTAAGTTCCTAATTTGCAACTACTGCCCTTCACGAATAACAATATCTTAAGCAGAATTTCATCCATTTAAAACAAATGAATCATGATGAAAGATGTCAGGTGTAATGTTCTATAATTTAGGTTGAAATTTTAGGTTTTACATTTTATATCATATCGTTTAATGGGAGGCTGTTTTTTTTTTTTTTTTGTAACTATTATGCCATGCTGAATCCTAAAATATTCAGATAGCAAAATAGATCTGAACCATAGAGGCAAAAACTAAAAGAATCTTCTATAATAGTTTTCCTTTAGAGCCCTACATCAGTGGTTCATTTTAGAGTACTCACTGGCTAGACCATTAAAATTAATCTTTTCACTCCTCGCTTACATTTTCACTTTCTTATTTCTTTACTCAAAGCTGTACTTACATACTTGATTGCAATAGTAGTGGCATAATTATCATAAGTAATACGTTTCAAAGGCCAACTGTTAACTAGAGAAATAGAATGACATATAAATTCTTTTTGATCCTATATTATTCAGAGCAAGAATGGATTTTCTCCAACTACTCAAATCCCCTCAATGCACACCAGAATGTAAATCTTGTGTGTCCCTCTAAAAATGTATGCATTTTTCAGATTTACTAACACCAAGAAAGATAGTGTTAGTATTTTGAAGTGATGTGTTGTTATAAGGATTTTAAAAGCCAAAACATGCTTATTAGTATTAGCAGAACAGTATTGCGGAACTGTACAGATGTGTTTGGTTTGCTCCAAGATCTTATATCCTGTGATCTAGATTCTAAACCCTAAAAATATTAACTCCTATGTTATTTCACATTGTATAGCACTGCAAAATTTTTCAGTTTAACCCCGTAAGACTTCTTAAATTTTGATTCAGATTTCCATTATGAACAATGAGTAATTACCATACATTATTAGCTTAAACTGTAACTAAAATTGTCATTTTAGTTTATTGGATACTCTTGCATCTGTAGTATCTAGAAACTATTATGGAAAAATTCTTGCCTCTAATCCCTGGAATATTAAATTTCTAGGTGTAATTTAGATACATAATCCAATATGTATGCTATACGTTTCAGAATGCTTTCAGAGCTGCTGGGTAAAATGAATGCAAATTAAAATGGTTCAAGCTGCACAGAAATACTGAGGATTCAAACTGAAAAGTAAAAAATCAAGCCACAGAATGGGGGTAAATAAGACAGTTTCCTAAAGGAAATATGCTCTGAACTGTATGTTGGTGTGCTGGGGGAGTCCATATGAGTGAGCAGGGAGAAGGGGAGGAGCATTCTGGTGTGGGACAGTTTAGTGAAGGCTAAGAGCCTATCACTAACCAGAGCTAGTGTGGAAAATACTAGTGCTTTTCTATACTACCAGCTACTGATTAATATTAATGATGAATATTAATAATGTTTTTGTATAGCATGTGAGAGTCCACCAGGTACTTTTGATTTAATTTGACCCCATTGAATGGGTCACAATGGCCTTGTCTATTTTCTTTTCAGTCCAACGTCTAAGGATGGATCAATGTTAATTTGTGTGTCCATTTTATACTGCTAAAACTCAGGGATTTTTTAATATTAGACAAGCTTACTTTTGAAAAGGTCCTTTCCCTAGTGAAACAGAAATTAATGATCTCATTTTGGGTTAAGAGGATGAACCAGCACATTCATCTTTGAGAAGTATGAAATGTTTTTTTCCACTTAAATAAGTTTTTTTCAATAAAGAAAAATTCTATGAACAATACCGCCTGAAACATTTAAGGGATATTTAGCATAATTTACTGCATCAAAATTTCATATTACTGTTATTTCAACTAGCTGAGGTACAAACTCTAATCCTGTAACATGAATCTGAAAACTTTCCCCAATGACAAGTGTTAGGGAATGTTAAAAGTTATAAGAGTATCGGACACTTTTAGCAGCTGAGATTACAATTTCAACATTCTGGATCTATAATTAGTCAAATAGTGACACTCTTTCTTGGTATGACAAGTTGTAAGAATGAAAGAGAGGTAAATTTTAATTTTTGATATTTGTGTTTCATTGCCCACTTATGTGTCTACTCCTTGTATGGCCTAATTTATTAAATACTTTATTATACTTGTTTATAAAAGAAAGTTAGAAAGTACAGTGCAGAGAAGGGAAAAAGAAAATGAAAATCATAGCTTCCTTCCACAGATACTCAATCCTCCATGTGTTTTCCTCGTGACAGCAACAAGGGGTGAGGATCTTCATCATGCTCTACAAAGAGGTGGAACTTGCTCTTGGAATCAACAGCGAATACAGCAAGAGAACCTTAATGCGTCTACACCCTAACATAAAGGTACTCGGGTTAATCCTGGTGACCAGTGTTTTTTCTTTTATTATTCTGCAGGACTTTTTCAGATATGTTTTGCTCTGACAGTGGTAATCTGTAGAATTCCCTAATGTATGTTTGAGTAAATGGCATTGAGTCCTCAGATATCAAATAAAATATACTTTCTTATACTCCCTACATTGATAGGGGAGTCAGCAGTCACATTTTTGTTTCTCTGACCCCTGATAATTGAAAGCGACAGTTTAGCCAAGAACATACTTTTTGCAGTTGTTTTAATATTCAAGAGACCTATCAAGTTCTCACACTCCTCATTAGGATTATCCTGGAACCTCTTAGATGTGATCTCCCTGTGACATCCCCTAATCACTGATAGCAGCAAAGAGAGCTCTAAGATTTAAAGTGCTTGATTTTTTTTTTTTTAGAAATCAATAGAACTTAGTGTAAAATATTAATAAAGTAAATAAACATGATAAGCAATTTTTAAAAACTTTGATATTTTATCAAAGACCTAAAACTTATCAATAGATATCACCCAGTCATTGAGATAGAATTCATTTATTAATTCATTAATTAATGGATTCATTAATTCATTAATTAATGAATTAATAAATCTATAGCAAACTTAAAATATATAACAATTGTGTATTTCACTTGGTTAAAAAAAATGAAAGTGTTTTTCCTCCAGAGAATGAGTTATTGAATTGTATAATTTCTAAACATTATTCATTCACCAGATTTCTATCAAGCACCTACTAAGGATGTAATTTTGTGACATCCACAACTAAAAGGGGTAAGGATGGAGCTATTACAGGAGCCAAGTTTTTGTATGCTATTAAAGTTAAGCTAGCTTAAATTTGAATTGGAGTGTTACGATTTTAGGATGTTAAATGGAATCCCCATGGTATCCACAAAGAAAATAGCTATAGAACATACACAAAAGGAAATGAGAAAGGAATGTAAATGTTTCATTCCAAAAAAATTAACTAAACACAGAAGAGACAGTAGTACAGGAAACTGGGGACCAAGAAAGCTATAAGGCTTATAGAAAACAAATAGCAAAATGATAGAAATAAGTCCCTTCCTATCAATAATTACTTTAAATGTAAATGGAATGAACTCTAAGCAAAACATGGAGATTGGTAGAATGGATTGATAAAATACATGATCCCACTATGTGGTATCTATCAGAGACTTACTCTAGATGCAGACACACAAATAGGTTGAAAAGGAAAGACAGAAAGGGCATGCCATACAGATAGTAACCAAAAGAGAGTAGGGGTAGCTAAACTAATATCAGACAAAGTAGATTTTAAATAAAAAAAAAAAAAGATTAAGAGAGACAAAGAAGGACATTATATATTAATAAAGGGTTATATACAGGAAGAAGATATAAAATTACAAACATTTATGTACCTAATAAGGAAGGGACCATCAAAATATATGAAGCAAAAATTGATAGAATTGAAGGATAAAAAAGACAGTTCTACAACAACAGTTGGAGACTGCAACGCCCCATTCCCAATAATGGATAGAACAACTAGACAGAAGATAAGTAAGGAAACAGAGAATTTGAACAACAGAGTAAACAAACTAGATCCAATGGACGTACACAGGACGCCCTACCCAGTGATAACAAAGTACACATTCTTCTCAATTGCACATGGGATGTTTTCCAGGAAAGACCATCTGTTAGGCCATAAAATAAGTTCTAATAGACTTTAAAAGGTAGATATCATACAACATCTATTTGATCACAAGAGGATGAAGTTAAAAATAAATAACAGAAAAAAAACTAGAAAATTCACAAATTTGTGGAAATTAAATAACACACTGTTAAACAATGGATCCAAGAGAAATCATAAGGGAAATAGAAAATACTTAGAGACAAACGAAAATGAAATAACATACCAAAACTTAGCACACAGCAAAAACAGTGCAAAGGGGGGCATTTATAGATATAAATAACTTTACAACTTAAGGAACTAGAAAAAGAAGAACAGACTAAACCCAAAACTAGCACAAGGAAGGAAATCAAGGTTAGAGCAGAGGTAAACAAAATGGAGAAATAGAAAATCAATAAAACCAAAAGTTGGTTCTTTGAAAAGATCAACAATTGACAAACCTTTAGCTAGATGGACTAAAAAAACAAAAGCCCCACTTACTAAAATTAGGAATGAAAGTGGGGACAATTACTACCAATTCTACAGAAATAAAAAGGATCCTAAGAGATTACTATAAACAAATATACACCAACAAATTGGATAACCTAGATGAAATATTCAAATACCTAGAAACATGAAACCTACCAAGACTAAACCATGAAGAAATATAAAATCTAAATTGACGTATAACTAGTAAGAAGATTGATAAGTAATCAAAAATCTCCCATAAAAGAAAAGTCCAGTACCTGATGGCGTCACCAATTAATTCTACTGATCATTTAAAGGAGAACTAACACCAATGGTTCTCAAACTTTAAAAACTGAAGAGGAGGAAAGACTCTCTAACTCATTAAGTATATTCTTAAAAATAGTTAAGGTGGTAAGTTTATGTTATGTGTATTTTACCACGATTTTAAAAAAGTGTTATTTTTTTTAAAAAAATAGTAGTTGCCAAAGTTTTTGTAATCTTTCTAGTTAAAGGCATGTGATAGAATAGGTCCGATTAGGGTCATTAAGGGAATTCTGTTTAAATGCAGGAGGTTACTAGCCTCTCAAAGTACCTTTTAAATAGAGAGCTGCCAAAATATCTATGTGCCTGTATTTGTATGCTTAGTATTTCAACCCCATGGCTGCCCCAAAATATCAATATAATTTAACAATTTCCTACAGATAAATTATGGTTAAATATTTTTAAAGTTTTTTTAAAAAAAATACCAAATATAATATAATCCTTATAGGAGGAAAAGGGAACCAGCTATCAGATTGAGCTGACTTGTATGCAGTGTGTAGCTACACTTCAAGCTAAGTGGCAGCCACCCCCCAAATACGGTGTCTGGGCAGGGGTCTTAAAAAGTAAACAGGAGTCTTCCTGTGCTAAACACTGAGAATGAAATGAGAAGTTTGGGGGATTTTCTTTGGTGTATACCTTGCACATTTTGGTATTTGAATTGTAGAAAATGCATTCAGGAAGAAAGCAGACCTATTTTATTATGAGAGGAAAGGCCTTTTAAAAGCATGTTACAGGGAGGTTTTTCCTTCTCAAGGTGATGAGGCACCCGGATCACGTGTCGTCCAGCGTCTATCTGTGGGCTCATCATGAGAAGCTCATCATCATCGACCAATCGGTGGCCTTTGTGGGAGGGATTGACCTGGCATATGGAAGGTGGGACGACAATGAGCACCGACTCACAGACGTGGGCAGCGTGAAGCGAGTCACCTCGGGACCGTGTCAGGGTTCCCCCCCAGTAAGTAAACTTCACGTCTATGGGACTGCATAAAATGAACATAATTTGTATAAGTATGTATTAACAGCGTGACTGATTGATTAATTGGAATAAGCGGTGGCATCTTCCTGGAGGGCAAAAGACATTGAGTCAAAGGTGAGACAGACCTGGTGTCCAATACCAGCCTCACCACCCAGCTAACTGTGGGTCAGCATCTCTTAGTCTGTTTCTTCTATTGTAAGAAGAGAAAACGGATTCAACAGGATGTTTGCTATCTCATACTCAGCTCCGTTGTTTTCCATTTAAATTAAAGATTTTCTATTTGGAAAAAGGTTCATAGCAAAAATGTATAGCAATATCAAGTTTCAGGTTAAATAACAGTAAAAAAGCCTTATTAAAAGTAGCTGCCAGGGTTTTTGGAGACTTTTGATTTAAAGACATGAAAAATCAGCATAGGTCAAAGTGGGGTCGTTTAGAGGAAATTCTATTTAAGCAAAAAGTGAGTAACTTTTCAAAGTACCTTTTAAATCAAAAGCTTGCCAAAATATCTATATGTGTATATCAATCTGCTTGCTGCCAAAATATGAATACACTTATTACAAATTTTAATGGTCCATCTTACTTACTGCTGGATATGTTGGTGACTTTTCTGGGAAAATAGCAATTTATTAATAGTTAGTAGGTAATAGGGAAAATGATCAACAGAAGAAACATTGTTTACTTGATGTTTATCAGAGGAAGACATTCAGGAGCTCAATAGTGACTGCAACTCATGTAATTGTATTTGAGATAAAAAGGTTAATTGGAATAAAATTTTAATAATTTGCCCTACTGAAAAGACCACAGTACAACTCCTGGTATTCTTTTGATAGTGCTTAAATAGCTCACAAGAATTCACCACTTTTCCATAGCTGGCCTCAGACATTATTGCATGTCTGTTATAGAGTCTCCATCATTTGTAAACTTTATACCTCAGCTCTACTTGCATTACAGAACCACATTGCAGCATATCTTATGCAGTATCCTTTTTTTAAAAAAAATAATGATTTTCTCAGGCTGCAACAACAGAGTCTACGGAATCCTTACACCTGAAAGATAAAAATGAACCTGATAAAAATCTGCCCATCCTGAACACTGTTGATGATATGGATTCAAAACTGAAAGGAATTGGAAAGCCAAGGAGGTTCTCCAAATTTAGCCTCTACAGGCAGCTCTACAAGCACCACCTGCACGACGCAGACAGCATCAGCAGCATTGAAAGCACCTCCAGTAAGTCATGGTCTTTGCCAGAATTTATCTCAACTACACTCTGTTCCTCCATAGCCAGACACTATATATCTGGTTTTAAAGTCTCTTTTTCTATAACTGATTAGAATAAGCAATGTTGAAAGGTCACTGTGTCATCCTATTCAATATCATGCCATTTATGGCTTTGTTTGCCTCGTTTTAGAACAGATATATTGTTTTAGTCACACAAAATAGTCATAGCAAGTACAATTCATGCTTCTGATGGTAGCAGAATGACTAAGGGTTTCTAAAATATGCCAAGCTGTAAAGGAAAAAGAAAGGTATTAGATGTACTTTACAAACTTTTCTTAGAAGAAATTTCATTTCTCTTCCCATCCAGAAATACATCAAGCTTCTATCATCAAACATAAGATTTTCTAAATCTTATAAATTTACCAGTCTTTTTATAATCTGTCTTAAAGCCCTGCAACTTTCTGTTGCAAGGAATTTTATGACTGATTTTATAGCTCTGCCTAGTTGTAAAAATGATCAAGAATGCTTTTCAGTTTAGAAAACTTGATATATATGCAGATATGTATATATTTCTTGGTAAAAAAAAAAAGAACTTCTCAATTTCTCCAGGTTATTTTAATCACTATAGAAGTCATCAGAATTTAATCCATGGTTTAAAACCCCACTTCAAACTCTTTCGCCCTTCCAGTGAGTCTGAGCAGGGGCTCACTAGACCCAGCGTTGGTAAGTGCTGTGTGAGGTGGCAGAACCTCCTTAGGCTTGAGCTTTTGTTGCATTGTCTGCTGCATGGGCATAGTGAGTGTGTTTACGGATTGGCTTTGTGTTTGCACAGTTTTCTTGCCATGTATATTATTGAGAGCCTGCTCTGTGCAAAGTATTGGGTAGTCCACAAGATCCTACTTCCTAAGAACCCGCACTCCAGCAGCGAAGGCAAAACATACCTAGTAACTGAACAGTGCATGGCACATGCAATTCAGTAGTGTTGTGCAAGTTCTGCAGAAGGTGGGAGGACTTCCTCTGAGACGACCCAGAAAGACTTTTTGAGGAAGGACATTAGGCCTGGAAGTTATTTGATTGGGGTAGGTGACGATAGGAAGACATTGCAGGTGAAGGAGATGAGTTGAGCAAAGGTGCTGGAATGGGAAGGCACCAACTGCTTTCACAGATGAGAAAATACATCACCCAGCTAAGACACGGTTTTTGATGTAAGACTAAAGATATGTTATACAACAGTCACGTTGGGGAGTTAGAACTTTATTTGGTTAAAAATCTGGAAGACCTTTGAATGGTGGTGTCCTGCATGCTCTGTGAATTTTCAGAAATTATAATCTGAAAAGTCTTTTGTAAGAAGAACCAGATACTCAGGGAGTGAATTAATCAGAGCCCAAATTGTGGTGGTGGGAATGAAGAAGGATTTGGCAACTGATCAGACACAGGAATAGGTAATCATCATCGTAAACAACTATAGTAAAATTTATAAGCTAACTTTTACCATGTGCAGACTCTGCCTATCATTGCCTGAGTACTTGCAGTGCCTGAAGTAATATTATCTCCTTTTTACACATGAGGAAACTCAAGGTTAGAGATAATAAGTTACTTGCCCAGTGACATTCCCATTCTTCAGTCTCCCAGTGCTCACGATTCAGATTTGTGATTTAAGAGAAATACAGATTAATGTGTCTTGACCTTTTGGCTGGAAGCCAAGGCCAAGTTTCTCAAGTACTGTTTAGGAGATGAGGCAGTTAGAGCCCAAATGACGTGCCTGGATGTGAGTCACTTGTGGCTAGCAGGTGCTAATAAACTTGATAAGTTAAGCTGGACCCTGAGTAGTGGTTCCCAGAATTCTTTAGTCTAGGGACCCTGTGTTTTAAAAAGTACATCAATTAATACTTACAATAAACCAAAGCTCTAATGTAATTGTTACATAAATCTGTATTTTGTGAATCATAACAATATTGATATACATTTTAAAATGGAAAACATATATGAGGAAATGTTTTATTTATTGAGAACAACAGCTAGTACTTGCTACATATGTGGATTCAGGGACAACTCCCAGTAATTCCTGTGCTCAACAGAGTTTCACTGTCCTGGGAACCAGGAAACCTCTGGAGAGTCCAGGCAGCCAGGTGAAGGGTGCACGCAGTTGCAGACATTAAAGATAAAGGGTTATGAACAGGTCCAGATGGTGCCTTGTCATTCCAGTGTGTGGCTTTGCTGCCTTAGAATTGAAATTAAAAATGAAATGAAGAATTGAGGTTGTCAACCCATGAACCCGAGGGGTCCGCATGAACCCGAGGGGTCCGAATTATGGCTGAGTGTTAGTGTTGCTGACAATAGGATTAGGCACAAGTGAAAGGATGTGAGTCAGGTGCTGAATACAGTAGGTAAATCAGGCCAACATCAGGCTCAGAGGGGTGATACACAGTGATCAGAGGACACGGACGTGTATGGTTGATGGAAAGTATCCTTGACATCTACTCACAATCCCCTCACTAATAAACTGTATACATATCTAGTGCAGCATTGTTAGAGATAGAGACAGAGTCAGAAAACAGCCTAAATCTCAGTGAGTAGTGGAATGGTGAAGAACACTTTGAATGGTTAATCCCTCTGATAGAATTGGGCAACCATTAAAATCTTTAATTAGGGATACAAAAATAAATGTAGAAGATTCATTTATTTAAGTATTTGTTGAGCTCCTAGAATATGCCGATCACTGTTCTAGGTGCTAGAGATGTAGCAAACAAAATGGAAGAAATGCAGGTAACTAGCTGTGGGTAAAGATGGGAACTGTTTATATAAACAGAAGGTCAAACACAATATATCGTTTGGTGATAATCATCATGGAGAACAATAGATCAGGATCAGGGAGGAAGGCAGAGGGGAGGAGTTACTATTTTATAAAGGGTGGTCAGAGGATGCTTCTCTAATGGGGTGAGTTTTCAATAGAGACTAAAGGAAGAGAGAATAAGAAACTGTCTGGGGGAGAACATTGCGGATGAAGGAACAGCAAGTGTAAAGGGCCCTGAGGCAGGGGGCTGTGTGTTCCAGAAATGCAGCTGCAGCAGGGTGGGCTGGGGGAGAGTGACAGAGTGAACTCAGGGAGGTGGGGCTGGGGGATTATGTGAGGTCTTGTGGGCGTGTAAGAATGTTGGTTCTGAGTGAGACAGGAAGTTACCAGATGGTCTTGAGCAAAGGGCAGACGAAGTCTGACTTACATTTCAATAAGATCGTTCTTCAGAGCAGACCAGGGTGGCAAATAGTGACCCTGCAGATACTGAATGTATTTTGAGGGTCAAGCTGACCACATTTGCTGATGCCCTGGCTATGGGATGTGAAAGAAGGAGAAGATTCCAAGTCCTTGGCCCCATTGGAAAGGTGGAATTTTCATGAGCTGAAATGGGAAGGCTGCAATAAGAACTAGGACAGATCAAGAGCTTGAGGGTGATTACCACTGTCAAAATACTCACCTGAAAGAGACTGACAAAGGACGCTAAATGATGCTGTGTTAGGAAGATGGACTTTGATGTGTTTTTTTTCCCATATTGTTGCTACTATTTTCATATTACTTTTATAATCAAATATAAATACAAACTTATTTTTTTAATATAAAAATTAATTTACTTGAAAAGCCAAATAATGACAGGACCTTCTAGAGCAGTGCTTTCCAGAGTCTACTCCTTGGCCCCTGGACTTTCTAGAAGGCTCTGAGGACACTGAAACAGATGGACTTCAAGATTCTCCCACTGCTACCAGTACATGCTTCAAACAGAACAATCCCATTTATATCCTCTTTGTACACTGTAGTTCCTCGGGAATTTGTTTTGGAAAAAAGTATAAGGTTCTACTAAAAATAATGAAGGAAGTTTAAAGAACAAGGCTCTACATTTAAATCTTGTCATGACTTAAACTCATGTTGCCTTATAAAACTTGAAGCCCACGTCAAGCATGGACTAACTCTTCATTAGAAATCTAAGGCTGAATATTATCTTCAGTTAATGACTTCCTTTTCCTATGAATCTGAACAGGGTAGCCTCTTTGCAGTGTCCATTTCACTTGACTGCAAAAGACCATGTGGAACTGGGCTCCTAATAAACCTTCTTGGAATTATACAGAAATGAGTGCAGAGTGTGCATACATAATCACTGTAGGTCTCTAAATAGAAGAACTGCACTAAACATGTGTTTAGTAACCATAGTAGATTTTTGTAATATATATTTTAATTCAAAATACTCAGCCACCATCAAAATTTTTTTTTCTTTGCAGAATTATGTACGAAGAGGGAGAATTTTGGATTGTAATTGCTTTGGTACTATCTATTTTTAAAGGGTTGAATTTTACTCCGTTATATTCAGCAACTGTTTGCTAATCTTTTCCTTTTAAGCAATTTAAATAGATAAGTGAGGGAAAATTATTTTTGCAATTTAGTTGAGACAGGTTTTTCAAATTTGAATATCTAATCATAAGGGATAAGGAATTGTAAGTTAAGCCATTTCTAAACTCTGTTCTCAGGGAGGCAATATATGGGATGTATAGGACTCATTTTGTGCTGTCAGAAATCTTATTATCTAACAGGTGAACATTAGTTTTAAATATTTTACTAACCTAGTACCTTAGTAATTCATCAAGGGAAGATTCTGTTGCTGCCAAGAGTCATCAGTAAAGCCTCTCCACAGATATAATACAGGTCCATAAAACCTTATCCACAATTCTAATATCCAAAAACTTTTGAAAACCAAAAAGTTTCTTAATATGACTCATTGAGGACCTGTATTGGAACTGACCTTGAACATAAGTAGAAATGCAGCAAGTAGAGACTAAGAAGGGAGAAAAACAGACATTTCAGGCAGATGTTATATCTCAAGGCACAGATACAGGAAATGCCAAAAGTATTTATTCCAGCACCTCAGACCTGAGTGGAATGTGGTGAGTACATAGAGGTCTACGATCTCTTACACAAAATCCTTGGATTCAGATGCACTTCAGAAACTTCAGAAGGTTTTGGATTTTAGAAAGGTAATACAAGACCCAAACCCCATATTATTTTATACTCCCATCAGGGTCCAGGAAACACCTGGAATGCAAGGAGACCATTTATATTTGTGCAACACCAAGTGAGATCAATAAAGATAATCAATAATCTCTTGTCAGTTCAGGTCAAGTTTTGCTAACACATGAGCTATGAAAAAAAATTTGGATTTTCAGAGCTTTTGGAGTTTTGGAATTGTTTGTTAAGGGTTAGTTAATTGTGTAGACCAAGCTGGTAGGGTATATCCATACCAATTTATGGAGGGCCTTGAAAATCAGACTGAGACATTCTACTTCATCTACTAATTGTTGGAGAATCCCCTGGGAGTTGGGGTTTAAGGGTGAGGTTTTACAAAGGTTGCACTAGAGACACCGGGAGTCTGACCAGCTTGTGCCAGTGGGCCCAAGACTGAAGGGAATGGGAGAAACTTTCTCTACAAGAAGAATCAGCAGAACTTCAATATGATTTGGGTCATGGTGCTGGGGAGGTGAGTGGAGAAGTCAGTGCAGAAGGGAGGGGCCAAAGGTGATGCAGAGGCTTGGGCTTGAGTTTACTGTGAGTGGAAAGCAGAAATCTCAAGGAGGGACATGATTTTGTGGGGATGATAATGATTTTCACATTAGATGTAATTTTAAAATTACTGGTAGGAAATCTAGGTAAACAATGTCAAGGGGGAAAGTGGATGTGACTG